ACATATTTTTGTGTGGACATATATTTTTATTTCTCTTAGTTACATACCTAGGAGTGGGATTGCTGGGTCGTATGGTAGTTCTGCTTAGCCTTTGAGGAATTGCCTAAACCGTTTCCCACAGCAGCTACACAATTTTACATTCTCACCAGCAATGGATGAGGCTTCCCATTTCTGTACATTCTTGCCGACACTTCTTATTTATTACAGCCATCCTAGTGGGTGTCAAATGGCATCCCATGGTCATTTTGATTTGCATTTCCCTGATGGTTAATGATGTTGAACATCTTTCCATGTGCCTGGGGGCCATATGTATATCTTTGGAGAAATGTGTATTCAGATCCTTTGTCTATTTTTGAATTGGGCTGCCTTTCTCATGTTGAGTTAGGAGTTTTCATGTATTTTTTATACTAGATCCTTATATAACTTGCAAATACTTTCCCCCATTCTGTGGGCTGTTTCTTCACTTTCTTGATGGTGTCCTTTGAATCATAAAGGCTTTTAATTTAGGAAAAGTCCAACAGATGTATTTTTCCCTTTGGTTTGTGCTTCAGGTGACACATCTAAGAAACCATTGCCTGATCCACGGTCACAAAGATTTACACCTGCGTTTTTTTCTAAATGTTTTACTGTTGCATGTCTGCAATGCATTTTAAGCCAATTTATGTATATGATGTGAAGCAGAGATCCAGGCTCATGCTTTTGCATACAGATTCCAGCTGTCCTGGCACCATTTGTTGACAAGATCACATTGACTCTTGAGGTAGGCAAGATACAAAGGTATCACCTCCATTTTAGGATGACAAAACAAATCTATAAAAGTTCAGTGACCAGGGTGTCTTCACCCAGACAGGAAGACGGGGACCCACCACAGTACATTTCCATGGGTTAAGGATGTCTACCCTCGGGCATCTCCCACAAAGTGCCCCTCTCCTCTCTGACTTTGGCCTCTTCTGCCCCTTTGGGAATTTTGTCCATCCTTCATACAGTTCCAAGGAAAACCTTTGTATCAACATCATTTATTTCTCTGCTGTTTTGTTTCCTCAAAAGCAAGAACAAGAGAAGTGTATGGTGCTAGGTGGCCATAGTAAAGATTATTTTCACAACTCAGTATCCAGAGGGAATCTCTCGGTCCTGATTGGCGGATATCACAGCATGGCTAACCACCTCTGCCCCACAAGCTTCTGTTGACCCATGTGTGAGATACTGTAGGGGAAAAGACCCCCACTGGGGCTCGCAGGCTCCTGAAGTTTCTCTGTCTAGCAGCGGAGAAGCCTGCCCTGCAGTCCACACCAGCCCAGCCAACATCTTTGACCTAAGTGGAGTGTCGCAGGGTAGCAAGACGTCTGAAAGTACAGGCTGACCCACCTAATCCTGACCTGAGAAGCCCTGATGGTTCTTCATTCTCTAAGGGCCCTGTGGTAACCTGACATCTCCTACTCCGGAATTCTGACTTAGAGCCTCATACCCTGGTCTTACTGGAGGGACTCTGAGGGTGTCCAGTCCAGCCAGTCCCTGCATGAGAAGGAAGAGAAGTACAAGGGGCGGCCACGTGGGCCGACCCACCCATCTGCTCACACGGCCCATCAGGGGCCCCTCAGGAGGCAGTCTTCTGCAGTGTTCCCACGTGTAGATGGTTAAACTCAGTGTTGGGGTCCAGATGGGAACTCAGCCCACCACCATATCCCCCCTTCATTTACTCCCCATTCACAGTGGCATATTCACCGCTTACTGTCTTGGGGCCTGAGGAGCTTGTTACCAGGAAGCATCCTTCCAGACTGATGCGCTCTGCTGAATACTCACCCTGGTTCATCCCACATCAGCCATGCCTGCTGCCTCTGGTCTCTCCATTCTCACCAGGAGCAGTCATGAGGGAGAGCCCACCCAAGCCCTTCTCAGTGGGTGGTTTGCTTTCTGTGGGCATCGTCTGCGCCCATTGGTTTCACCTTGATTCAGGTATCTGGGGAGGCCTTTCTAAGAAAAGGAAAGGGGGTTGGCAGGAAGGGAGAGTAACTTAGACCTTCAGGAAGCTTTGTAACTTTCCCAACACTCCACATCCGTGAGCTCACGAGCCACTGAAGCCTCACGAGGTACTTTGTGAGGTGGGAGATATTCTTTCCATTTTGCAGATGGGGAGCTGAGCTGTTGAGGCTGTGACCTGCTTAAGCTCATGCTGCCGGTCAGGGTCAGAACACACTTCACTATTCCGAGCTTGTTCTGCACTGGCCTCGATGTCATGGACATCACATCTCCCTACTCATAATTTCCTTGAACCTGTTACCTCCCTGCATTATAGAACTGGCAGCACTAAGAGATTTTCAAATTGGAAACATTTAAGGTTTTCAGCCCAGTTAAATGCTGCTCTAATTATTTCCCCAGAGAAATTGCAAACTCACAGAAATAAGATGAGTACACAAATAACCGTAATGGAGGATGTGGGAAGTGCCCTTGAAGTCGCACATGAGGTGCTGAGCCGCTCTCAAGGGCGAGCCCAAGCCCTACCAGGCAGGCAGGGACAATTACAAGACATACTGAGGGGCAGGTGTGGAGAATGAGGAGCCTCAGACTCTATGAAGCCCTTTTTATGTCTCCAGCATTCCATGTGAATCGTGCCACAACCCATCTTATCAAGAGAGAATGGTCTGTTTAAAACTTGGAAGCTGGCTCAGAAAGAGCCTGGGAGAAATCCAGTCGTGTTTCCATGTTTAAAAAGAAAATGCACATCTAGTTTGCAGCTAATTGGCTCTAGCGCTCTGTTCTTAGGCTCCAGTATTCAGACCAGTCAGGGCTTAGGAGTTTTCTTGGCATTTATTGTACATAATGGAATAATTGAAGCAACATATAGCTGGATAAAAAACTCTAAATGTTGCCATTTTTGAAGCCTCTTGTTTGAGGTGGCTGGTAATTCCGTGGGCTTGGTCCATAGTCCCTCTGTAATGGGGTGGGCATTGGGGGTGGGCAGGGAAACAGCTTCTGCTCAGTGAACAAGTGAAGGGCAAAGGGTAACAAACCCTTTCTCAGGCCCTAAAACAGAAGCCTCAGGGGCTTCCGGTATCTCTGCTCAGCTTCTGTAGAAACTCCACGCACATCGAACCTGTTAAGCAGGGAGATGTAAATAGCCAGCTCCAAGCAGAATAAATGCTGTCATTCCTCTTGGAGCATTGCATTTGTGACAGACCAGGTAAAAAGGTAAGGGGCATGGAGATCAATATATTAGTAGTTGCCAGAGTCTGAGGAGCAGGGAATGAGGAGTGACTATAATAGATATGGGGTTTATTTCTGGGGTGATGAAAATATTCTGGGACTCGGTGTTGGAAATAGTTACCCAAGTTTGCAAATATACTAAAAACTATGGTATACTTTAAAAGGGTAAATTTTATGGTATGTGAGTTACTGCAATAAAGCTGTTATTTTAAGAAAGGTAAGGCACAATCTCTAAGCAGCCATTTTACATAGGGAAAAAAATAAGGGGGGACAATGTCATTTTGCTATTTGCTCTTCTATTTACTCTCTGAGACTTACAGCTGTGTTAGAAATCTTCCACCAAACCAAGATAAGTGTGTACAAAGCTGGGAGAATGGCAGTGAACTCAGTCTCCATTTCCTCCTCGTCCCAGGGAGCTGAGCTGAACAGCCTTGGGGGGCCAGAGCAGCACACTGGTCTAGATTGTGGGGGAAGGAGAGCAACTCTGAAGGCACCGACTTCCCAAGAGTGCTGTGTCCACTCCCCCAATAGCGTCTGACATTCCCCAGTACTCAGCTCGGGAATAACTATCTAAAGGACCCTTTTTAAAGGTGAATGTGCTCCAGGAGACAGGATATATTTATTTACTTCCCATTAATACTTTAAATGTGAGGTTATCTGAGTAACTGGACAATCTTTCAACAAGGCCACAGGTGATGGTAAATGGTGCACACACAATCGGAAGGCAGCACCTAAGTGATTTTCACAGGGGCAGCAAGCCCAGCCCATGTACCTGGCCACAGGGCATCCATAGCATCTCTTCTGAAGGCTGAGCAGGGTGACTGTACACCTCCGCCAAGGATGCAGAATGAGTACGTTTGGCGGGGGTGGATTCACCTCCAGAGGGCTTTACTCTGGAAATTCAGTCTCCTTAGGGTAGGATTGTGCTGAATCAGAACACACGATTGCATGAGGAGGTTGTGAGCACCCTGAAAACCGACAAGAGAGAGGGGTGCCAGAGTGAGCGTCTGCATGGACTGCGGTCGCTTTCAGGAGAAGAGGGGGCAGAGGCTGCCTAGAAAATGGTGAATTTGCTCATTGAAAATGCTGCACTTGTTTAAGTGGAGATCTCAGAGGCCAAGAGACAAACATAAGGCCCTCTGTGAGATTCCTTTCCACAACATCCCAAAACAGCATTTACTGAAAAGGTAGAATTGTAAGTGCTCTCTTTTTAGTCTGAATTGCTGGGCATTTTCTTTAAAGTGGGCCTGCATTACTCTTATGATCAAGAACAAATATGTAGGTAAAATCTACTTGGGAAAAATCGTTCCTTTTCAAATACACCAAAATGTGTGAACAGTATTATCTCTAGGGTTTAGGATGTGGCCTCTCTTTATCTGTTAATGTATACTTCTCTGCATTAAAAATAAAGGTTTCCAGTAAGGAATACATAAGAAAAGCAACATTTAAAAACAAAGCTGCCTTCCAGGTAAGGCTCCTGCTTCAGCAGCAGTGGAGTGGAGCTCTGTTCTTGCTCGGACAGAAACCCCTGTGAATGGTTCAGCCTCTGGTCAGCCCTGCCAGGAGTGCCTCCAAAGCCCTCCCTTTCCCCTTCCACTCATGATTCTGTAACTCAACCACACACTCATTCTCGGAGGGCATTATGGGAGGACAGACCACCCCAGGAATGTTCTCTGCTACTCTGAGAAGAGTAGTACGCCAGGAGTATTGACCCCACGGGGCACTGTCTGAGATCACCCAGGGCCTCTGTGTGGCCAAAAGGCAGGACATGTTGCCTGATGCACCTGCTTTCCCTCCAGGTGGGCCTACCACGATTTCTTCCATCGGTATCGAGTGCTGGTCAAGAAGAGCGAGCTCGCCAACACGGACAAAAAAGTGATCTGCAAGTCTGTTCTGGAGCGCCTCATCAAGGTGAGCTGGGCACAGCTCCAGGCAGCCAGGGCTCCGTGAAAGGCTTACCCAGCATGCCCTGAGAATTACTGGGGTTTGCAGGAGGTTAACTGCCTTTTTTGGTCATCATCCTCCTTACTGAAACTGTTTCTGAGATGTTATCTATTTTCCTACACCAGCACCCATAAAAGAAAAGCCCCTTCACATATCAGGTACTTAGCCTTTCTCACATCTTGGCACACATAGAAGATGAAGTTACTTGTATGACACTCTGGAGTTTGTGATAAGGCCACTGCTAGCTGGGGATCCCTGGCTTCTTCAAAGCCCAAGGTCCCATGGTTCAGCCCACCTGCGTGTGCATCTGCCTGGGAGCTCTGATCCAGAGCTGGGCACAGTCTGGAAGCCAATAGAGGGGAAAATAGCTGCACTTCTCATATTCTCTTTACTACATAGCTGACCTCAGGCCCTCGCCCAGATGCTTGTTTTACATCAGACAACTGGTTTTGTTTTAATTAAAACAACCTGAAATCGTACCTGACCCTTAGACCAGAGATCTATAAAAATCAGCTGTTGGAGACCTCTTGTGAGGGGCACATCCTTGAACATTCTAGAGGATTCAGAGATTACAGCAGCATATGAAAATTAATGGTTTCAAAGGGTTAAATTACTCAAAAATCTTCCCTTTTAGAAGGTAATGTAATAGAATTACATTAAATTTTAATTTTCAAGTATTATTCTGCCAGGAAAATTTAACTGGAGCAGCGTATGGCCAAATGATCAGGATTTAAGGCCCTGCATTATTTTGTAAAAGTGACCAAGTCTCTCTGAGCATCATCTTAGCTACTCAAGTCTGTGGCTGTAGCCGGTGCAGAGTATCGTGCTACATAGTCAGTAGAGAAGGAGAGGGTGGCAGTCTTGTTCATTGAAAGCTGCAGTTGGTCACTTGGACTCTGGTTAATGGAGGTTTTTGCTGTGGTGCACCTATCAATGTCTACATTTTAACATCAGATTTTTTATGAATGAACATAATCTATGTTCAAAGTCAGCTAATTCCAGTCTACATGGAGTGTTGGGAGTCTTTCTCCTCTTGGTACCAGGAGCTGACCTTTGCGTGTGTGGTCAAGGCTCACAAGTCACCCCTCAACTATGTGGCTGCCTCCTCCTTTGTCCAGGGTCATAGTCCCACTCTTCCTTTCCCTTCCCTGGATTTCTCCAAGTTTATCAGCACAACCTCTGCCTCCCAAACAGAGGGTACTCTGGAGCAGATCCGGGTCAGACTGGCTGGATCAGCCTCCGCCACTCTGCTCCCCTCCAGCAACCAAGACCAAGTGCCACTGGCTGGGACCTCCCTTCCTGGTGGGCTCTGCCTGCTGCCTCTCCTGTCCACGGGGGAGGAGCCTGCCAGCTTGTCAGTGCATGGCTTAAACGCCTCTTGCTTTCCTCAGTCCGGCACTTGGCTCTGAGGCTTTGTGTCACTCTCAGCCTGCTGTGTGGAGTCCTGCCTTCCAGATATTCTTTCTTACAGAGGACAGTCTTTGTGCTGACACCTTCCCCCTAGTTAGGAGTATGAGGCTGACACAGAAGGAACCCACCATACATTTAGAATGAACGAACAAGTGAATTACCTAAAGAATTATGTGAATCTGTGTTGTTTTCTCTGTCCAAAATGCTTTTTTTCCTCTTCTACCTCTCCAGCTAGGTTCTACCCTCCTCCTAAACTGAGCTCTAAAACGCCTCCTGGTGTGTGAAGTCTGTTCCTGGCCTCCCAGGGACAGTTAGCAGCCCCATCTCCTGTTGGCCTGTAGTACTCAGCTTCTGCCTTCCACTGTTGCATTTACCCATTTGTATTATAACTGAGGGTTGATTGTTTCACCAGACTAAACACCAAGTAGGAAAGGTCCTGTTGTCATTGTGTTTCTAGCACGGATATCCGTTGTCACAGAATCTCTGAGTTTGTGCAGGGGGCTGCATGGGTGACGAGATGAGCGTGTTGTGACTGGAAACCTGCCAATAATGGTCACAGCTCTTGAGCACTTGGAGTTAGACACTTTTCTAACTGCTTCACATACCTCATCTAATCCTCATCTTGCCCAGGAGTCCTGGGCCTTGATATCATCTGTGAAACATTGAGCAAGTCACTTCACCCATCTAGGCTTCGGTATTGTCATCTGAAATGAAAGGAGTTGCTTGGGATGGATGTGAACTGTCCTTCCACTCCCTCAGTCTGTGATTCTGGAAGGAACGTTCTTAAAAGATGACCCCTGATCGATACATGAATTATATGGTCAGTAAGTGCTAGGGGTTGGAGGAGAGCAGTTCTGGGGCAGGAGGTGTGCTCAAAACATGGGGGCTAAGGAGAGTCAGGGCTCAGGCCAGTGGTGACTGGCTGGAGCAGGTGCAACCTTCAGAGAATCCTTAGGTGTCAAAACAGTGTCTTTGCAGAGCAAGCCCTTCCTGGTTGTCCCCAAAATAGGGAGCAGAGAATGTGCTCCCATTCCTGAGTCACAGCGGACATCCCCCAACCCTGGCTCTGTTGAAATTGGAGCAGCCACACTGGTCCCACTCCTCTTCCCCCGCCTTTTGCTTCCCGACCCCACCTCACTGAGGGGCCTCCTCCATCAGGACAGTGAAGGAGGCAGCCTCAGATTTCTCAAAGCTTCCCAGCCCAATCCAGCCCCTGTCCCTCCTAACGTGCGCTGAGGGCCCACTTAGTATGTGGCCCTGAGCAGGTGTAGGGAAGAGAACCTGACCCACACCTCATGCCTCCCAGCTTCACCAGCAGCCTGACCATGGAGGGGACAGGAAGCGACAGTCTAGCTGGATGCTGTGTCCCAGCTCAGCCACAGCATAGGCAGTGCTATCTTCCCATGTGTGGAACTGGGGTCCTTTTAACCATGTAGGGCCTAATTCACAAAGACTGGGGATTCAGCCTGATTTCACAGCCATTTGTCGACATGAAATATGTTCGTGTGTGTGTGTGTGTATGTGTCCCTTAGACTTTGTCTTGTTGCTTATTATGTCCTTCATGCCGGTGAGCAAAATTCATACGGAAGTTTCTTTGCAACCCGAGCTCAGTTAGCACAGCTAACTATCAAGTGCTCTACCCCAGACTAGTCCTCATGACACTACTGGATCATCTTTCCTTATCCACCAGGGTGAGCTCAGCGAAGGGTAATTAATTTCAACCTAAATAGATGTAATTAAGACAGTAATTATATGTCAAAAAAATCTCATAGTCTGAAGTCAAATAAAATTTATTTAGGGAGTTATTTGCAGTCTGAAATTATGAACACCATTGCATGGCCATTTGAGGATAACCTTTCTTAAATGTCAACCAGATCAGGTCGTTGCCTTGCTCAGAGCTCCCCCAATGGCTTCCCATCCCTGTTCAGGCTGCTGCCTACAAGGTCTGTGGTGATTAGCTCCTCCTGCCACGCCCCCTTACTTCTCAGCTCTTAGCCAGCCTGGCACTCCTGTTCCTCAAACATCCCAGCTTTGTGCCACCACAGGACATTGGCCTCTGCTCTGCTCTTCTCCCAGAGCTCACCTCCCCAGATTTCCCTGTGGCTGCCTCCTTCAGTTCATTCAGGTCTTTGCTCAAATATCATCTCCGTAGAAATGCCTTCCTTGATTATTCTACTTAAACATCCTCATTGCACCCTCCAGCTTCATCATCTTCATAATCCTCAGCACTGCCTGTAAACAGACTGTCTTTGTTTGCTGAGCTGTCTGCTCTCACCACAACGCTCAGTTGCTCGAGGGCAGGCACCTTGTTCACTGCAGCATCCTGACACTTAGCCCAGTGTCTCTTCCCCAGCAGGGACTTAGTGTCTGTTAAATGAATGTGGAGAGTGAGTGTATACTTAAAGGGCCAGGGTACAGGAGATCTGGCAAGAGAATTCTGCAGTGGAGGAAATAGGGTGGTGGCCTATGTGACCTCCCTGGTAATGAACTAGCCTCCTTCCCTGCCTTGTAAAGGATCCTGACAAGTTCCAGTTTGGCCGCACCAAGATCTTCTTCAGGGCAGGCCAGGTGGCCTACCTGGAGAAGCTTCGGGCTGACAAGTTCCGGGCAGCCACCATCATGATCCAGAAAACTGTCCGGGGCTGGATGCAGAAGGTGAAATACCGGAGACTGAAGAGGGCTACCTTAACTCTGCAGAGGTGCTGCCGAGGACACCTGGCCCGCAGGTGAGCCAAGCTGGGTCACATCTAGGGTAGCAGATGGGAGCGGGGGCTGCTGCTCTCAGCTGCTGAGCCTCTCTCAGCCTTTTTAATTAAGAGTGGCTTCAGCTGGGCCCTGTCTGCCCCCTGGCTTTCTCCCCAGCAGCTGGGCAGGTCTCTCCTACCCATCTCACCTGAGGGAGTAAGTCTAGTTCCAGGAGACTTGGTTCCCTCAGTCTGTCCCTGTCCCACAGCCCCAAAAACACCATTTTGCCCTTGCCTAGATCCCGAAGTAAGATAATCTTTTAGAAAAAGAGGCAAACTCAGCCTTTCTGTCACCGTTAACTTACCCTGAGCGTCACGACTTACACCGCCGATTTCAGAGTCCTGCAGGAGTGTGATAAGTAGGCCTGGGAAGGTCCCTCTTCTGAACTGCCGCACGTAGCCAGCACAGAGGAGGAGTGGCTTGTCTATTCACAAGTGGCTCCCTCAGCAGAGCCTGGATGCCAGGCAGGCTCCCCTGCCCCACCCACCAGCATGCAGAAGAAGCTAAACATTCCTGTCCTAACGGTATCCTCACGTGGGTGAAGCACTAAAGTAGCATGAGCAGCTCCGCTGAGAGAGAGACAGAGGGCATGGCTTCCCCTAAGACCCATCCTGAGGCCTTTACACAAGCCATCAGGGTTTGGACCCAGCCCTGATTGAAAATCAGTGACCTCTCCAAACAGGGACTTCTTTGCAACTCTGTGACAATAACTGCCATGAAGTGTTGCATTTGGAAGCCAAAGCTCCCCAAGTGGCTGATCCATCATCTCTGCTTGAATATAAAAAAGCCGGAGAGCCCCTGAGGTAAAGCCCAGGGCAGGTATCATGAACGTAGGCATTGCTCCTGCTCACTCTCATGTCCTTGCCATAAGCTGTTGATCCAAGCCTAACCAGAGAGGATAAATGGCATTATTTACCTCTAGACTACTGAGGGGTGATCTCTGGAGCAAAAGCTATAGAAATAAGATCATCAGTAGTGTCGGCCCTGAGCAATCTGTGCCGACTCTCCGGTCATCATTGAGGACCTTGTATGTGGAACTTTGTCTCAGGCAGCAGATGGTGAGGTTATAAAACAGGCGGCCTGCATTCTCCCTGCAGAGAGCTTGTATTCCAGTGGGCATGCAGGGTCCACACCTGGAGAAAGTATGTATGGAGAGCTGAGCTTGGGGGTCGACTCATTTCAGCAGCAGGGCAGGCTGGGTGGGCCACCTCCTCTGGGCTGTGTGACGTGGTTTCTAAGGTCCTTTCTAACTTTTAGTATTCTGAATCTCTGAGCACTTGCTGTGAGCCTGGCACCTACCAAAGCCCACAAGTAAAGGTGAGAAGTGGCAGGCTGTCTTAGTTGACATGGAGGGGGTAAAAGGGAAACAGAAGAACATAGGTGTCCACATGCGTTGCAGAAGCGCTGGTGAGTTGAGGGAGCAGGGAGAGATGGGTGTGGGCTTGAAAGGGTTTTACACACAGCAAATGCTTTCCAAGTGCCTACTAGGCCAGACCCTGAACTCGGTATAGTGGGGGCAAGGATGATTTGAGACACAGCCCCTAGTGTGTCCAAGTCTAGTGAGGTACCGGGGACAGACAGACAGTGTACATATGTCATGTCATTGGGGGCTACCTGGTTGCAGTGAGGGACTCTTGGGTGGGGAAGTGAGCAGATAAGGATTGTAGAATTGGTCCGACATAGACTGAATTATAAACTTGTGGAAGGACTTGTTAGACATTGAGGAAGCTGGTTCTTTTCTGAGCCTGAGCTCCAAGTGCCCACAGTGTTGCTACAGTCAGTACAGTGACGAGAGATGGCTTGGCCCGGGAGTGTCCAGGCAGGGCTCAGCAGAGGGAGGCATGTGCCCCTGAGTGGCTCAGAGGCGTCTGTCAGCATGTCTCGCTCCCTCCCTCCCTAGGCTGGCCGAGCATCTGCGGAGGACCCGGGCAGCAGTAGTGCTCCAGAAGCAGTACCGAATGCAGAGGGCCCGCCTGGCCTACCAGAGGGTCCGCAGGGCTGTCCTTATCATCCAGGCCTTTGCTCGGGGCCTGTTCGTGCGGAGAATCTACCAGCAGGTGTGTAGCTACTCCGGGGAGGTTGGGGAGTGGGGGTGCAAACTCAGCAAAAGCAGCAGTGGATTGTCCCCAGAGTGAATGGTTATTGGGTGCTCCTTTATTCTAAGTAAGTCCGTATCTTTGCACCCATGAATCCTTTCCAAAGTCCTATGAGGTAGCATATTAGGGTTCTCCAGAGAAGCACCAGTAGGAGATACATATATGTATGTGTGTGTGTGTATGGAGACTTACTACAAGAAACTGGCTCTTGAAATTGTCCAGTCCCATGATCTGTCATCTTCAGGCTAGAGGCCTAGGAAGGCCAGTGGTGTCCTTCAGTCTGAGGCCTGATAACCAACCAGGGGAGCCAACGCTGTAAATCCCAGCCTGAGGGCAGGAGATGAGATGGTGTCCCAACTCATATAGGAAGGGAAAAGGGGGTGAATTCCTCCTTTCTCCGTCTTTGGTTCAGTTCAGGCCCCCAGGGGTTAAATGATGCCTACCCACACTGGGGAGGACAGACCACCAGTTCAAATGCCAATCTCATCTAGAAACCTTCAGAGACACCCAGAACCAGTGTTGAATCTGGGCACCTGCGGCCAGTCACATTGATACCTGAGATTAACCATCACAGGTAGGAAGGGCCCTTACCGTTCTACCCCTGTGACAGATGAGATGCTTGGAGAAGCTGAGTCACCTGCCCAGGGGTCCCTAGCCAGTGGCAGAGCCTGGTGACCCATCCAGGGCTCATTCAGCCTTGAGAGCAGGGGGTGATCTTAGGTGTCATCAGGCCTAGCCCTTCATTTAACAGTTGGGAACCTGAAACCCAGTGAAGAGAGGCACCCTGACCTTCTCCCTGCCAGGCCATCAGTCCAGGGAAGCTGAAGTACCTGCTTAGGTAGCCCCAAGGCATGACCCACCCATTCCACCAGATCACCCTGACACAACTGAAGCTCAGTGTAAGGCAAAAGATGGGTTGGAAGGAAATGTCTAAAATGTTCTTTTTTCCTAAAATGAACATCTGTCTCCTCTCTGCTCAGAGAAGGTGTGATTTTTCTAAGTAATGAAACACACACTAAGGTGATAATGAAAAAACAAACATGATCAGACGCCAGGATGGAGCACACCCTGGTGAATATGTGGAGAAACCCAGGCCAGTGGGAGAAGGTCCTGTCATTATTCCTGGGAGACTGGTGACACCTGTGTAATGTCACCATGGACAGGGGAGATCCATTTGGGAGGCACTAGGTTTAAACCCAGCTCTGGCTGTGATACTGGGCATGCTAGTCGCGCAGTATGTTTGTTTATTTACTGATTTATTCCACAAACATTTATTTTAAGAGGTATTAGGGCAAGAACATTGATGATGCTTTAATTTTCAGGGAGGTTTTTCATTATAAGCCAAGCTTGTAATTATAAGCCGTTAGCTCATAGTGGCCTCTCACTGGAGACTCTCACTTCATCTCTGTAGCTCACCATGATCAGAGCGGGATCTGAATCTGTTGAATGGGAAGATAGTAGCTCAGTAACATTTAGGCCCCTTCAACTCTGAGGTGTTTATGCTGTGGTCCCCAAACCCATAAAACAGAAAATCAAACTGAAATAAGTGTCTAACAGTTGATTCCCTGAAGGTATATAGGCTACAGAACTTAGTTAAAACTTGTCATAAAACAAACAGCTGCCAAAGCCTGAAATCTTAAGGCATATTCTCTGTCTCATAAGTTGAGGCTGATGCTCACCTCTTCCAAGCAGTGCTTGAGCCTCCCTCATTCCCATCCTGCGGTGCCACCCACCACATGTGTATTTGTCCCCTGACAGGTCCTCGCTGAGCACAAGGCCACCATCATCCAGAAGCATGTGCGGGGCTGCCTGGCACGCAGACACTTCCAGCGGCTGCGGGGCGCGGCCGTTGTCATCCAGTGTGCCTTCCGGATGTTCAAAGCCAAGCAGGAGCTAAAGGCCCTCAAGATCGAGGCCCGCTCCGCAGAGCACCTGAAACGCCTCAATGTGGGCATGGAGAACAAGGTGGTCCAGCTGCAGCGGAAGATCGATGACCAGGTCAGTGTGAGCACCCCACAGGGGTTGGGGGCCGTGGTGGGGCACCAGGGGCATGTTTGAGAAGATCCACAGCTTCCTCAGGCAACTGCGTGTGCCAGAAGAACCCCGAGGGAGCTCGGCTGTCCTCAGGAGCGGGTGCTGACTGTGGCAGGCAGAATATTGGCCCCCAGAGATATCCGTGTCCTACTCTGCAGAGCCTGAAATATCACCTGATGTGGCTAAAGGGGCTTTGCAGGTGTGATTAACTTAAGGCTGTTGAGATGGGGAGATTCCCCTTGATTATTTGAGTGGGCCAGTATATTCACAAGGGTGCTCACAGGAGTGGGGCAGGAGAGTCAGATTCAGAAAGGGAGACTCAACACAGAATCAGAGGTTGGAGTGATGCAGGGTCATGAGCCAGGAAAGGCAGGCAGCCTCTAGAACCTAGAAAAGGCAGCAAAACGGATTCTCCCCAGAGCCTCCAGGATCACAGCTCTGCTGACCCCTCTGAGACTTCTAACCCCCCAGAATGTAAGATAATAGTGGCTTGAAACAATATAATTAACTTTTTGGTAATTTGTTACAGCAGCAAGAGGAAGCTGATACAGTAGCCCAAAGTCGAGCCCTTGCAGAGGCAGTGTGGTGTAATAGCAACAGCTGGCATTTGTGAGGGGTCACTGCATGCCGGGCACGGTCCTGGTGCTGCTTCTGTAGTAGCTCGTTTAAACCTAGAAATAGCCCCATAAAGTTTCTTCCTTTATTTACCCCAAGTGAGGAAACGGAGAGGCCAAGTGACTTTCTCAAATCACATAAGTGACAGTGGCGGGGCCAAGATTTGAACCCCTGCTGTCTAGCTCCAGGGCCCATGTTCTTCACCCCTTTGCTCTTTACCTCTGTTATGTTGTGTGGTGGGAAGAGCACTTGCTTTGGAATCAGAAAGTCCAATTCAGAAGCAGGTCTGCTGCTTTGAAGTTGAGTGAGTGGCATGATCACTCTAAGCCTGTTTTCTTATCTGTAAAATAGGGCTGATCTGACATGTATGCGGGGCCTCGTACACAGTAGGAAACTCAGGAAATGGTAACCACCATCATTATGTTAAGCTGCTGCTTCTTCCTACCCTGGCCACCTTCCGTTGTCAGCCAGTCGCACAAGCGACAAGCCCTCAATCAGGTGTTGGGTACTGCGCAGGGTACTCTGAGGGGTCCAGGGTACACGGGACACTCATCAGCTTGGAAAGACAGGACACACACGCCCATACACCCACCAGGCAGTCTTTCTCATCCTTCTCTTCAGAACAACTTTATTTGGCGCCTGTTTCTGGTGCTTTGTTAGGCACAGTGAACCGAGGATGACCGTGGCACACACCGGGAACACCAGGAAGTGATCATGCCAGTGGGGCCAGCAGCACCCACTTCCCTGCTAGTTTTCTGAGCACCTGCCACGTGCTTGGCCCTGTGATACGTGTTTTATGTTCAGTCTCATGCTCACGTGACTTTGTGGGGTCATTTTACAGATGAGGCAACTGTGAATCAGGGACATTAAGTACCTTGCCAAGGTCACAGAATCAGAAAATTCTAGAACCAGCCTTCTGACCCAGGTCTGTCTGATCCCACAGCCACAGTGAGGGTGCCACTAGTTCTTTTAACCCCAAAGGTCCCTGAGTGCTGGTCCTTTCCTGGGTATCGTCATTGCCAAAGTGGTTGTGGGTTCCCAGGGTTGAAAGCAGGCCCACTGTCACTTGCTCTTGCAGGGTATCAAGATGAGCATAGGGCCAGGCTTCTGCAGTGCCCCCAGGGTGGTGTGTCAGGTGCCTCCTGAGGAAGGAAGGGGGAAAGTGAGAGGGAGAGAACACACAGAATGTGCACACTGTGGACAAAGAGAATTTGAGTTGGAGCTCCCAGGCACTGCTTTGGAGGTCACTTGGTTTTTTTGTACCTATTCTATGTTAGGCTTTTTTAAAGCTTCTCATGACCCTAATAGGGCAAGAAGATAAATGAGCCCTTTTACACTTAAACCAGCTGCCCCCGAACAAGAGACCAAAAGCAGTGCACAGACAACAATACAGTGTTCCTGTTTCCCTGCTCTTGCAAAAGACCAGGCTTCCCAAGAAGAGGCTGCCACCCTGGATGTTTGTATGAGTTCTACAGGGCATCTTGTTTGGCTAGGCTCCTTAGTGGCAAAGCAAGATGGAAAGTTCGGTCTAGGATGGAAGGCGCACAGTGCGTGCCCCTGGTCGGCCTGCAGTAACGGGTGTCGTCAGGGAGGAAGGCGTACCTGCTCAGGGGGATGGCAGTGCAAAGGAGAAGATCTGGTCTCTGGAACTGGTCATTTGAAAAATGCAAGCACAAGGAGGACCCAGGTATTTTTATTATTGATGTGGCTGTTGTTGATGGGCTAGAGAAGATGTTTGCACCATCAAATATTGCCAACTAACCTTCCAAACAAAGTATAGTTCAGGGGACTAGTAGGCTTTGTTGGACCATTGCACTCTGTGTACCGAGCAGCTACCTCGCCTTGGGTTTCCAGCCACAGGGCCCTGTGTTGGCATTGCTGATTTCTGAAGTTGGCTTGAAAGTTTAAAAATAAATCTGGTATTTTACAACCCGCACTTCGGAACATCAAAGAGAAGCAGATTTAAAAGGCCTATTTTTAAAAGAGCTTTTTGCCTTAAGCTTCCTGCTTGGCAAACATCTGTGAGTGGTGGCAGATGTTACCCACCCTGGGCAGGGTGCCCTGCATGCAAAGGATGATCAAAGAGGTGGGAGGGATGGGGTAGATCTTGCTTTCTTGTACCCCTCCCATGTTTCCTATGTGCCAGGCACTATTCTCATATATTAACTCATTTAATCCTCACCACAACCCTAAGAGATAATATTATTTCCAGTTAAACTGGTGCAAAGAGAAGTTAAGTCACCTGCCCAAGGTCACGCAGCTAGCTGGGACTGAAATTTGGCAGTCTGGTTCCAGACAATGTTCTGCCACCTGCAACCAAATTATGGGATATCTGCACATTATGAGACTCTTGGGACAGTCCAAGGAAATTCGTCAGTCCAAGGAAAACTCTTAGTTTTGTTTTGGACTTATTCATATGGACAGCAATCGTCCTTGGACTGGCTGTCCTTCTACAGTCAGGTGTGTGACCCCCTATCAAAGAACACCCTCTGCTCTCTGTCATGAGAGGAGACATCAGCATAATCTATGACACCAGGTCTTTAGAGATTGTTACTTTATTGCAGCCTCCTACCAGATGGAGCTAGCTGTTTGGAAGTGAGTGGGTTTCTGTTCTTGCTGTAATGCCTGGAGACAGCACAGGTGGCTGCTCCCAGGACACGAGTTCTTAAGCCAGAAGGGGTGTACAGCTTGGTCCTTGTGGCAGGGCAAAGGCATCCCAAAGTATTTGTCAGAGCAGAGTGGGTGGGGTAGTGGACAGAGTTCCAGCAGGATGGAGACCTGAATTCTGTGTCAATTACACTGTAACCAGAGCTGACAGTTGGGATTATGGCCAAATCTCCAATGGGGCCTTGAGTTCTTCAGAGGGAGTTGGCCTAAGATGTCCGATTCACTGATACCATTATGTGGCTAAAGTAGGGATTCCCAGCTCCAGGCTGCACTGTGGAATCTCCAGGGGAAGGTTTTCAAAGAAGTACCCCCACTGGGAAGAAGTCATCCAAGGAGGAAACAGATAAAACTAGGTAAGGTCAGCACCCAAAATTCAGGTCTAAGGTTTTGTGAATCCAACTAAAGAGACAAGACATGAAATTGGCACTGATTCCCAAGGAAACGGAAAGAAAGAAATGGGTTCACCAGTGAGTTGGTGAAAGTGACAATCATTTGGGAGGGCTGGAGCTGTCCCTGATGCTGAGACTTTAATGGGTTTTCATAATCTATGATGTAATAACCCACATCCTTCACAGTGTCCTTCAGTAAATACAGTGACAGTTCCTGGGACCGTTTCTTACAGTGTCCCTGGTGTAGGCCTGTGGTGTAACATTTTTCAGCCAACATGATATAATCATTGGCTGTCTACTAATCTAGCTTTATTCAAGCACAACATGCAGAATGACTAGGCCAGTTGAGCCTACAGTTTTTTTGTGTGTGGGAACCAAGTTTCTTAGACTTTAATGAGTAAAAGGCTATATTTAAATATGTTTTATCTGAAAAATATATGACACACACATATGGATCCAGTTAATAGCCATTTAAATCGATTTGGTTTGTACTTAGTATGCCCTCAGTCAATATGTTAATATTTTATGATTCATAAGAGTATCCATATACATTTGAAAAATAGTATAAGTCATGTATGGACGTCTGTGCCTCAGGGTTCTCACCTGTGAAATGGGGACATTAATCATCCTTACTACACAGGATTTCTGTGAGGAGTGAATGAGTTAATATATGTGGATCATGTAGTACAGTGCCTGCCCTGTAAGAAGCACCCAGTAAGTGCTAGCACTCGTGTGGAACGTGTTGTTTTTCATTGTGCACACTACCTTGCAGTGATTTCTCCCCCGCCCCCCAGAGGGCTGTAGACCACTAATTGGGAACTACTTGTAGCCTCTTGTGTACAGGTGTGCAGGCTGTGCACTGTACGAAGGTAACTGGCTATGGGGACAAGAGGAACTGAAATCCAGCCCATGCTTTGCTCACCTATGAGCCCTAGTGCACTGCTGCCCTGAGGAGGGGGTGTCTGTTCCAAGATGTGCCTCTCCCACCCCCTCCAAGGTTGTGTCCACCCAGAGGTGCCATTCTGTGGCACTCATCCCCCTGGAGATGGGTGCCCTTTTTGGTTTACACAAACCTTCTATGGAGGTCAGCAAAGGGCTCAGGATCACTGACTGGATGAATAGGTGGATGCCAAAATGAGCTGCTAACAAAATAAATAGTCTCAAGTTACTTTCCCAGACAGGTTCCTTGTTGGCAGTTGAGGACAGATCTGTGCCCTTTAGCAGTAGGAGTAGCATGAGCATCCTCTCAGGAGCCCAAGGAGAACAGGGGTCTGCCTGGAAATCCTTAGCCCCTTCTAACAGGCAAAGGCCTTCAGTGTTTCAGGACAGAGCTGGCCAGGTCTCCAGGTCACACTGACAAAGGCAGCTTTGGGGAGCTTAGCCTGCCATCGTGGGGAGGGTTTCAGGGGGCAGTGAGGGAGCAAGTGCCCCATGTCACCCCCTGCACCAGGCCAGGCTGCACAACATGGGCACCCAATGAGGACCTCTGGCAGGAGGAGGCAGGAAACTACTGGACCTTCAGGGTCTCCCATTCTGAAATCATACCTCCAGAACATGAAGCAGGAGTCCCCCATGTCTGCCAGGGATGCTGCTGTTCTTTGGGAGTGCCCTGCCTGCACCCCAGGCAGCCAGCAGGATTCAGAGCATCTCTCCAGGAGACTCCTAGAGACCTGAAGAATGAAAACAGTGCCCCTGAGCTCTCAGTGAGCACCGGACACTGGCGATGCGCTCGGTCTCCCTGAATCTTGGTAAAATCCCATGAGATGGGAGTTAATGTCATCCCCTTACACTTGAGGAAACCTGGGTACAGAGAGGAGGAATGGCCCAATCAGACATATGCAGCTGATCAAGGGCAGAGCTGAATCTGAGCACAGGTCTGTCCAGCTCCGGCCACTCCTACCTCCCTGACTTCCCTGAACCTCATCTCAGCCAAGGTGTCCCGTCAGCAAAGAGCTGGCCTCCTAGACAGGTAGTCTTTGCATGAGGGTCCTGGGTGTCATCTTCTTCCACTGCAGGATGCTGTCATCTGCTTATCCACAGAGAGTAGTTCTCCCTGAGAATCAGGGTGGCAGCATGTGCCTGCACCCTCTGCCACCACCACATTTTTGTGCCTCTCCATGCTGCACACAGATCCCTCTAGAGACCCCCGCACACAGACCAAATAGCCCAGTCTTCCTTCCCACCGTCCTAATTATCTGACCAAGTGGTGCCACATGGAGGTGACAGTTGGGCTGAATCTTATTTCCAGAGCAAAGGAAAGCTGAGGTGACTAGCCCAGCATGTTTGCTCTTGGGGCCCACTTCCTTTATGCAGAGACCCTGTGTCCCCCAGGGGAGACCCAGACCAGGTGGGCAGTAGATGGTACTGGACTTTTTAAACAGATGCTACCTAAATAGGTTTCTTATTTGTGATCAGTCAGCGAGGCTGACTACCAGCCATAGGGCATATCAGGTTGTAACTAGGAGATTTCCCGGACTGGGGGAGGGTCTTTTTTGCTATGTCAGTCCAGGATACCGACAGCAAGTCTCAACCTTACAGCCCCACGGTGTGCCTAGCATTGTACTAGGTCCAACAGCTGGTCTTTTACTGCTCCTCACTGCTTTCCATGAAGGATAATTTCTGATGTGCATTCATAATTGATTCCTGCTGCTCCAGGTTATTGGTATTTCAGCCAATGGCTCTCTTCTACTTGGAGCTCCTGCAGAGAATAGCAGTGAAGAATAATCAGTGACTCCTAGTTGCTTGATCATTTGGAGAACCCTACTTCTTCCTCTCTGTTCTCCCCACTGACCACTTTCAGCTGATACTGTCAACTCCTGCAGCACCAATTTTTGCCCATGTTTATGCTAGTGCTTGGTACTGGCCCTGACTTCAGTGCCTCCTCCGTGTGAACTCTTCTGTTGTCTACTTCCAGGCCCCCTGCACACCTGTGCCAGGCATGTGGGGGAATGCTGCTCACTTACCTATTGCTTGAGTGGGTATATGATTGGGCACCCAGTCTGCAGGGGTACAACATGGATGGATTCTGCTAGGGCATCAGTTTCTGGAATCAGAGCCTTAGCTGGTAAGCTGACAGACAGCTGGTGGGAGAGACCCCTCGGCCCCGTGGAGGGCCTCCTTGGAAAAGAGGATGCTGAAGGGGTCCTTTGTCTCAGAGCCAGTGATTAGGTTGCAGTTCTTTGTGCCAGCAAGTCCAAGGGCCAGAGGGCCGAGTGTGCTGGAGCAAGGGAAACCTGAAAAGCAAAGGCTACAGATCTAGGATACCAGCTATGTTGTTCCCACAACTTAAAAAGCAGGTGTAAGATCTGTTCACCTGATCATAGGAGGCTGACTACTGTCAGCAGCTTCCAGCTTGGCCACTGCTCATAAATGCTCCTTGAACATCAGTATTGATGTTTTTTCTTTTATTATATTTCCCTTAGGTTCACAATAGACTTCTGTTAGGGAGATGCCAGGGAGGCACTCAAGCATGTGGTGGTTGTGAGATGTAATTCCACCTTGGAAGTTCCTTTTTTAATTGCCTTCGTGTTTTTTGTGCCCCAGTAACCTTGTTCTCCATCCCTTCCTCCCCTCTCCCGTTTGCTGATGCTCTCACAGAACAAAGAATTCAAGACACTGTCAGAGCAGTTGTCGACAGTCACCAGTGCATACGCCATGGAGGTGGAGAAGCTGAAGGAGGAGCTGGCCCACTGCCAGCAGAGCCAAGGTCGGGGTGGCAGCCCAAGGCTGCAGGAAGAGGTCGAGAGCCTGCAGACTGAGCTGCAGAGGGCCCACTCGGAGCGCAAGGTCCTGGAGGATGCCCACGCCAGGGAGACAGATGAGCTGAGAAAGGTATGTGCAGGCAGAAGGGGCAGCTTGGGGGCGGGCTGGCTGACAGAGCACTATCCCCTCCAAGGTGGTTTGTTCCTCCAGCTGTAGAGCTACCATGGGCTCTACTGGGGCTTGTGCCCAAGGTCAGCTATCTCTCTGCGTTTAGGCAAATGTGCTTTGGGGGAACCCACACAAGTATGTGTGCATTCACCTAATCAAGTGTTGATTTTCTGTCATTAGCTGAACATGACAATGTCCCCAAAAGGATGCACACATGTTCCCCTGGGCATGTTCCTTACAGACCAGAATCAGCCACTGTGTCAGCTCCCTGGCCTGAGCCCTTGCTGGCGAGAGAGATGGTGCAGAGGTCATGGCTTTTCTCCTTGACATCGCCTGCAGGAACTAGGGGCACCCTCTAGACATCCCTACCCACGATCATCGTGCTTTGGGGAATTTGTCCTAAGTTTTTGTTGATAGTTTCAGCCTGACGTGCCCACTCTAGCTCGGCTGCTTCATATTTTTATGTCCACCCAACAAAATAGAACTTTTTCAAATGTCAGGATGCAAAGATCACTTTCTGTACTCCCGAGAGAGCTGTTCACTCCAAGGAAGTCCCACAGGCCACTGGAGAGGCTTCCAGACTTGGGATGTCACTGCCCTTGCCTGCGTCTCTGCAGTGACCCACAGGGAAGATAGCACTCTGCCCACATGCTACTGTCTGTCCGTCACTGGGAGTCGTGGGGTGAGATTCTAAGAAGGGAGGGCTTCAGTGTTCCTAATGTTGGAATAACAACTTTTGGTGTTTAAAGCAGGGGCAGGCTAAATGCTGCCTCAGACAGGGTCCTGGGGTAGACATTGGAATCTCCAGATTCTCATCCTTGGCATGGGCATTACCAAGTGCATGCAGGAAATCTCACTGGCCTTATTTCCCTCATCTGTTTTAAAAATAAAAGGTTGGTCTAGAAAATCTCCAAAGGCCCTTTCTGGACTTGCAACTGGCCAATTCCATGAGATGGTATTTGATAGCTTCTAGAAGGAAAAAGGACCCAGCCCTTCTCTATAGTGCCTCTCCCTTCCTCTGCCCCATTACCTTCTCCTGGGCTGAGCCCTCTGACACACTGGAGACTGCCGTTTGAGATGAAAGCCTGCAGAGCTGGTTCGTGCTGGGCTGGCCAATGTTTTTCTGTCCTAGGCAGAACTTGTGACCCCCAGCCACTGCTCCCCCCAGATCCCAGGGATTTCCCAGGCTTGCAGGTGGGAACACATAAGAATTCGGTGGCAAAGAAAGTGACACATAGGACTTCCTGGTACAGACAGCCTAGCACAAAGGCTGACAAAGACCTGTCATCTCCCAGGTGACCCATTGCCCAGGGTAACCAATCCCTTCCCCCAGGTTAACCAGCCAGCTCACCCACCATGAGGCCTTAAGTGGACTTCACTCTTTGGTATAAAGCATGTGGTTCTAGGAAACTCCTGTTAAATGTAGTTACAAGCCTGTAACCTGTGAACTGTGGAATTCCACACTGTGGTGTATTGACCCATGAGGAGATCAGCAGCAACCCCTCTGTGTGATTAAAGCACAAGAAGGTAGAATCCAAAGGCAGAGAGAAAGAGGCCGGCACTAGAACTGGAAACTCTTGAGCCTGACGGCCCTGGGAGAAAGAGAAGGTTGGTGCAAGGACACACCGGTCGGCTAAGCCCCGAGAAGTCTGTGACCCAGCAGATCTAGGGCCTCTCCTGTCTCCAGCCCCTCCTCAACTCCCCAGCCTGCTTCCCCGCTTCCCCTTGGGCACACACTGTGATGTGGGGACTCCATCTAAGTCTTCATCTAAGGGGGCCTAAATGTGTTTATAATATGAAACGCTTCCCCAGCAGACCAAAATAGAGTAGCATGCTCCTCCTCCACTCCTTAAATAAAATCGTTTCTATTTCCTAGGAGCACGTTGACCTAGGTGTTAACTACTGTAAGAGCTTGGAGCTGGCAAAAAAAATTCAAGGACACTGCAAGAAGGCGAGTGGATAGGCTCAGAGGCAGAACAAGAAAAGCACCTTCCGTGACTCCAAGCATAAGCAAATCCCAAGTTAACAACATAAGAAACTGGCTTAGGTGATTCATTAAGTGAATGTCCACCTCTTTCCAGGAAGAGAAAGAGTAGAGTAGAAGCAAAATTTCCTCCCCCTCTTGGGTCTTCAAAACCTTTTTATTCTGGTGGCTGGGATGGGGTGTGCAGGTGGGGGCTGGCTTCTTTTTTTCCTTCATCTTCTGTGCCTAGTCAGGGTTTAATATTTATCAAAGGCACCATGTTCAATATTAACAAATGCTGAATAATGAGACAATCAGCTTCCTCTCGGGCTTGTGCAGGGGCCTGTTCCACCTTGAGCAAGACTGATGAGATGGGCAGAGCGTGGGGAGGGAAGCTGACTACTGGTAGATATTTAATTAATGGATTTGACGTTTCTGGCAGTAAATGTTGTATTGAAACTGGCATCCTGGAAAATTTTGGGCTCCCCACCCCAACAGTATTCTTGCTTGTCAGGTCACGTGGCTACACGGTATTGATCTGGTGAGGGAGGCCAGGTCTCCGTGGGGGCAGGAATGCACCACTGTGTCCACAGACCAGGCAGCCCCCACCAGCCCCCTAAGCTGACACCTTCCTGCTGAGGATCCACTGTTGCAGCCTCTCCCCAGAGCAGTCATGCCTAGGCCTCTTGCTGCCTTTTAGCCTGCCTGTTGTGTGTGTTTTATTCTTTTTTTTAAGTACTCAGTGATCCTCATGCTGACTGAATTGCGCGTCCATGATGGAAAAGCGCTGGCTCCCAGGGCCACCCTCGATCAGAGGCATGGTTGTTACCCAGGATCTGCCCGAAAGGTTGCTTAGTGGGGCTAGCGAGGCCTGGCTTGGTGCAGGGTTGTGGTGAGGAAGAGCAGCCCACAGCCAGGTGCTGGGCTCTGTCGAGAGCCCTTGACACTTGTGAGGGGGGAAGAGCAGCCCCAGACTCTGAGCATTTAGACTGGTGAGGTGGTGTGTTGTATCACATTGTCACCAAACCACCACCTGCTGCTGATTGGTTACCTTGGGTAGTTCCAGTATAAAAGTTTCAGATTTTTCTAAACAAGTACAGAGATCTGACTGGGGTGGGTGGGGGTAGTGAGGTTCTTATAGGGGGATGCTTTGGGTCTTCTCCCCAGAGGCACAGAGCAGGATGTTTTTAGCATCTCCATGGTTCCCAGCAGCTCCGTTGTTCCTAAGGAGGCTGACGGTTATCAGAGAGAGGACCTCGCTCCGTAGCTATGGAAAGACATTGTCTCATTGCAGAAATGGAAGTTCATGGCCTGCCATTCATTCAGCAGATGTTGATCGCCTGTACTTGTTAGGTACTGTTCTACATATGGGGACAATGGCAATTTTTAAGAGTCCTTTTTCTTATGAAATTTAAGTATTTGGAAGTTATGAGAGAATGTACAGATAAGAATTAAATACAAAGTATCCATTACGTGCTATAAAAAAAAATCTAAGTGGGATGAAGGGGATAGAGGGGGACTGGAGGGGAGCAAGAAGAGGTATGTTTCATTTATGAGACAGTCTCTCTGAGAAGACACCTGGATGAGGTGAGTCGTGAGCTGTGAGGATTTCTAGGGAACAGGTGACAAATGTAGCAGCAGGTGCCCAGGCCCTGGGGGGGTGGGAGTAGGCTGCGTGTGTTCAAGGACCAACAAGGAGGCCATTCGGCTGCGACCAGGTGGGCAAGAAGGCGGGGGCAGGGGGTGGTGAGGACAGGGAGGCGGTGGAGACCTATCTGAAGGGATCTTCTCACCTTGAAGACATTAGCCATGAAATCTCCAGAGGGATGAACAGTTTTGGTCCCTGAAGCATATACCAGTTCCTCCTGCCCTCATCTCCCTATAGTTCTTGCCCTGGGAGATAGTCATTCAAGGCCTGACCTAGGCTGCTGACACCGCTGTTCTTCATGTGCTGTGTCAGCCTTCTGAATTGTCAGGACATAGGGTAGCACAGCGGTTAAGAGCCAGACCTTGGCCCAAGCCGCTCAGGGCAAAGGCCAGCTGAACCCTGGCCTGCCTGTGTGACCTGTAGCAGAGCTTTCTAACTTTCTGCTCCTTAGTTTCCTTTAAAGTGTTTTCTACTTCAAAGGTAGTAAGTCAATTTATAACAGTGCCTGAGACATAGCAAGGGCTCAATAAATGTTAGCTAATTGTTCCCCAACCAGCCCATAACTTCATGGAAGTCATGAGCTCTGCCTTAACCTGTTTGGGCTCCATCCTCAGTCCTCGCCCCGTGTCTTGGCACAGTGATGCTGAATAGCAAATCAGCACCCGTGAGGCTGGGCTCTGGGCTCTGGGCTCGGGGCTCGGGGCTCTGCCACACCTCTCCTCTGGGGTGCTTCTTTTAATGATGGGCAGACACTGCCTTCCCACCTGGGTTTCCTTTCTCTTCCTTGTGTATATGCCTGATGCAGCCATGTGTCCAAGGGGAGTCCAGATTTTATCTCTGCACTGTCTACCCTTCCACTTCCCTCTTTTCTCTGCTTAGGTCCATTTCCCATTGACGAAATAACTTCCCATTCAGAGTAGTCATGCTTGCTTGCTTTACTTTCAAAGAACAGGCAAGTAACCCTTTCCAGAACTGTGCAGAATTAGATGTGTCTCTGCCAAGGGCTGTGCCTGTAACTTTCTCCTTGAAGGTAGGTGTGTGGCATCGAGGACAGAGGACTCAGGACACAATGGTGGGCCAGGTATCATCCAATCTGTTTGTCCCATGGTTTTCTGCTAGAAACCTTGCAATTGGCTCTTTTAAAGTATAAACACCTAACTTGGAAAAAAATCAGACAAACCCAAAAACCCAGAGATTTGTATCCCTAGAGATTAACTAGTAGTTCTTGAGCACGATGCTGGGGCATTTGTGTCTCAGACTAAATTAGTCTGATAGTAAAAGGATTTACCTCAATGTTGGTTCTCATGAACTATCCTAAATGACCTTTCAGAAGGAAACCCTCCCAGTAATATTGCCAGCAAGAGTTAAAAGACCCCCCCCCCAATACACCAAAAAAAATGGAGCTGGTATTTGAGTCCCCAGACCTAACACAGGTGTTATTTATCATGCTGAGAGGATGTACCGGCCTGACCATGTTGGTGTGTCTCACTGCAGCCTGCAACCCTGACAGTTCACAAAAGGGAGGCCACTTGGCTGCAGGAGCTTGTCACCTGCTGTGTCTGCCAACGGCTCCCTACATGCTAGCTGGCAGGGAAGACTGCGGGTGGCCAGTACCTGGGGAATATGTTAGGGGAAGCAGTCTCTGCCCCACTGGCATGTGGAGCCATGTGTGCGACCTGTTCCTCCTCTGTTCACTGAAGAACAAGACCAGGCCTACCTCTAGAGTTCAGGAGAGGAAGAAAAACAGCTTCCGGATGCCACTCTGATGTATGGCTTAGAATAACAAAGCTGAGCTCATCAGAGGCCTGCCTTTGTGAATGAAAGCTTTGGCAGGAGACGGATGGAGGGAAGAAACGAGGCTCAAACAAAGTAGAATTCATCCATTTCAAGTATACCACTCAGTGGTTTTAAGAAAATACATTCACAGAGTTTTGCAACCATTACCACAGTCAAATTTCACAGCATTTTCATCACCCCCAAAAAGCCTCTATACCCATTAGCAGTCAGACCGCATTCCCCCCCCCCCCCGATTTCCCACCTCAGCCTTAGGCAGTCATGAACCTACTTTCTGTCTCTGTAGAGCTGCGTATTCTGGATGTTTATAGAAGCATCATATCGTGTGACTGGCCTGTCTCAGTGCATTTTCAAGATTCATCCATGTTATTGCTTTTTATTGCTAAGTATTTCACTATGTGGACATACATTGTATTAGTTCATTAGCTGATGACATTTGAATTGTTTGCACGTTTTGGCTATTTTGAACAATGCTACAAACATTTGCATCCAAGTTTTTGTGTGGACATAGGTTTTCATTTCTCTTGGGTATACACCTAGTAATGGAATTCCCAGGTCACACAAAATTAAAATGCATGTTTAACCTTTTGAGGAACTGCCCAACTATTTTTCCAAAGCTCCTACACCAGTTTACATTACATCCCCAATGGCAGTATATGACGTATCTGATTTCTCAACATCCTCATCAGCACTTCTTTTTATAGCCACCCTAATGCATGTGAAGTAGTGTCTCATTATGGTTGTGATTCAGTCTGTTCAAATCCTTTCCCATTTTTTGATTGGGTTCTTTTTTTTTTCTGAGTTCTTATTCGGGGTCCAAGTTCTACATCAGATAAATTATTTTCAAATATTCTCATACTGTGGGTTAGCTTTTGGATTTCTTGAGTGTGTCCTTTGAAACACAAAGGTTCTAATTTTGTTGTAGTCCCATCTGTTTTTTTCTTTAGTTGCTTGGGTTTTTGGTGTTGCATTTTAAGAAATATTGCCAAATCCAAAGATTTGCTTCTGTGTTTTTTCCCAAGAGTTTTATAGTTTCAACTCTGACATTTAGGTCTTTGATGCATTACAAGTTCATTTTTGTATATGGTGTGGAGTACATACCATTCTTTTTATGTGAAAATCCAGTTGTCCCAGCCATTTGTTAAAAAGACTGTTCTCTCCTCATTAAATTGTAATGTGAGGGTTTACTTCTGGATTTTTAATTCTACTCCATTGATCCATATGTTTATCCTTATGTTAGTATCACACTGTGTTAGTTACTTTAGTTTTGTAGTAAATTTTAAAATAGAGTGATTCTTCCAACTTCATTCTTTTTCAAGATTATTTTCACTATTCTGGATTCCTAGATATTCCATATGAATTCTAGGACCAGCTTGTTGATTTCTGCCACAAGGCCAGCTGGGATCTTGATAAAGATTGCGTTGAATCTGCAAATCAATTTGAGGAGTGTTACATCTTAGCAATACTGATTATTCGAATCCATTCAGGATGGCTTTCCATTTATTTAAATGATTTTTAATTTCTTTCATCAATATTTTGTATGTTTTCAGAGTATAAGTTTTGTACTTCTTTTGTTCAATGTATTCCTAATTTGCTTTTCAGATTGTTCATTGCAATGTATAGAAATACAACCAGCTTTTGTAACTTGGACTTATACCTGGCAATCTGAACTCATTTATTCGAATAGTTTTTAAGTGGATTTCCTAGGATTTTTAACATCCAAGATCATGTTGTCTGCAGCTAGAGATATTTTTACTACTTCCTTTCCGATCTGGGTGCTTTTTCACTTTCCTGATTTCCCTGGCTAGACCCCCCGGTACAATGTTGAATAGTGTTGGTGAGAGCAGGCATCCTTGTCTCCCTCCTGTTCTGGAGGGAAAGGCATTCAGTCTTTCACCTTACAATATATTACCATGTGGGTGTTTGGCAAAGTCCTTTATTAGGTTGAGGAAGTTCCCTTCTGCCCCTAGTTAAGTGTTGTCATGAACATATGGTAGTATTTTGTTAAGGATTTTTGCATCCATATTCATGAGATAATGGTCTGAAGTTTTTTTGTGATATCTTTGTCTGGTTTTTGGTACGTGAGTGTTACTAGCCTCATAGAAGGAATTGAAAAGTGCTCCCTCCTTTTCTGGTTTCTGGAGGAACTTGTGAAGAACAGATACTCTTTAGGTGTTCACTAAGTGGTGGAATGACTCTCGAGTATGTGTTTGCATTTAGTGCCTAGTGAAGGTAGTGTTGCCAAACCATCTGCGAGTGTTCACTTGCTCCGTGGGGTCATGCTGCCTGGAACTGCACACACATCATCTCATCTAAAGCCGGGGAAGCCCTGTGAGGTGGTGTTGGTTTTGCAGAGGGTGACTGAGGCTCACAGAGCCAGCAGTCTGGGGCTGTGAAGCCTATGCTCTGTGCCTCAGGCCACATGTACATGTAATCCCAAGAGTTTTTCCTGTAGTTCAGGCAGCCTCCAGGGACGTGGGACTTAAGTCTGGATGCCTGAGTTACGGGGCCCCGGGCATGCGTTCCTCACCCTGTCCCTGTGTGGTCTCTGCAGTGCTCGCTGGCTTCCCGCCTCTCTTGTGAAGGCAGAGATGCAGTGTTCATGGGGAAAAATCACTGGATGGCCTCCCGCAAAGTGAGCCTCTGAAGGTTGCAGAGAGAAAGTGCAGAGAGGGACCCGCTGAACGTCAACCCCCATGTTAGAAAGGAAATGACCCCTTTTCCGTCCTCCTGCATGACAGCTAATAACTTCTAATTCCTTTAGAACACATCTGAATGGTCAAATTTTTAAATCTATACAAATATTTGCTCCAGTAGTAAATAGCAAAAAATTTTCATCTTTTAAAAAGCTTGCCTCACGCTGCTCTAATTTTGCTTCCTCTGAACAGAGCAGGATTTGTTTTTAATTAGTATTTGCATTTTTTTTTTCTTTTCTGTTTTTTAGCCATTTTCTTTTCAGTAGTAGTCATCTCACATTTCCTTTGGCAGCAGCATCAGAAGCTAAACACTGGATGGGACAGTGGATGTCAGTAGCGAGTCTCCTTCCTTCTCCCAGCATGTGGACTGTGCTGGTCCAGTGTGACAGGCAGGGAAGGTGGGGTGAAGGCCAGGATAATTCTTCACCCTGAGTTTCATGCTTTCTTGAGACTCGGATTTGAGAGCTCAGAATTTACCAAGATAAGCAACCATATGTAAGGAAGTGAAAGCCTGTTACTGTTGTTAAGTCCCTGAACACAAAGTGAGCTGATGTAGACTTTTCATGAGGTTTCTGTGGGCGTTGGGAGACCACAAACAGTGGTGGGCTCGTCTATCTGGTTCTAATGGGACTATTTCTTTCAGCATATGGTTTTTCCCCTTGAAACGACAGCAGCTTTGGCTGATTGGATTTTCTTAAATAGAAAGAGCACTTAAACATAACCAGCTGAAATTCAAACCCCACAAAAGAGGAGCCCTTCCAGCTTCCTAGGGAGACATTTTTCCCTATTGCTCTTTCAGCGAGTTGCAGACCTGGAGCAAGAAAATGCTCTCTTGAAAGATGAGAAAGAGCAGCTTAACAACCAAATCCTGTGCCAGTCGAAGGGTAAGTACCAGAGTGCTTGATTTTTCATTTTGGATTTTGATTTGTTTTCGACTCTGATTTCCCCCAAAGACGCCTAGCAAGATTACAGTCAGTCAAGATTCTGCAGTAGAGAAAAGGCTATAATAGAAGGGAGATGAAAAAAAAGGATGATCTTTAAGGTCCTGCTGTGACTTTCGTTCCAAGAGTTTGGTGCAGTAAGACACACACATAATGGACAACTTGATGCCTGGGATTTGAGTCAGGGAGACCCGCACTCGAAGAATGGCTCTCCCTTAACTGTTGCATGGCATTGAGCAGGTCCCTTAATTACTCGTCTCAGTTTCTTCATCTGCAAAATGGGCATAAGACTACAGACCTGAGAAGCATGAAGCGCTTAAGATGGTGCTTGACACATAGTGAGCCCTTAGGAGCTGTCCTTACTGCTGTTTGTAAATTGACCTTGAGCACCCTTAGTACCTGCCATGGTTTCTTACACCCAGTGGGTCATGTGGTAATGTTTGCTGAAGAGAGGGCCTGGGGTCAGATCCCAGTCACCTCTCTCTCAAGCACCCACTGACCCTGCTGGGCCCCCATCTGCCCCCATGAGCTGCCTGTCCAAGGAGGAGCAGTGTGAGGCCACTGACCCCAGTCCTTGCCTGGCTCACTGTGGCCTTAAGCAGATCTCCCAGCCTTAGGTCTCAACCACCCCAAAGAGCCATGAGAAGTGAACCCCCTGACTGCACAGTCCCTCCCAGCATGAAATCTCACTGACAGCTTGAACTGTTTTCAATTTCCCTTTAAAAATGCTTTCCACAGATTTGAAAAGTTTTGGTGGGGGAAATGCCTATCCAAGTTACGTATTTGCCTTCCATCCTTCCCCCAACCTAACCTGTGGCTTTATCCTCAAACCTCCTTTAATCTGCCCGGCATGCCAAGAACCTGAGATCAGGAGCTGGGAGGGACTACAGAGCGTAGCCCGGGCTCCCCCAGGAGCGCTGCCGGCAGGTGCCAGGGCTCCCCCAGGAGCGCTGCCAGCAAGTGCTGGCACAGTTGTCACAAGAGATAGGAAGGCAGGTGTGTTAACGGGAGTTGGCTTGGATGCCACCTGCTTCTAGGTCGCACTTCCCGTCGAGCAGGGTTGCCTTTCTTCCCCTCTCTGAAGACGTCAGCCACAGGAACATGCTTCCTGTTGCTCTGCAGTGGGTGAGGAAGCTGAACAGACTCATCAAGTGTCTGTGTTAGGAGCTTGGCACGGGCGGCCTTTTAACAAGAGGTTGTTCAGAAAGCGTGAGTCAGTACTTGTGGGAGGAACCCAGTCAGCGGGCAAAAGCGCAGCTGTGTGTTTGCTTTCCAGGTGACTTTGCCCAGACCTCTGCCAAGGAAGAACAGAGGGCGCAGGAGCTGGAGGAGGAGCGCTCCCGGTACCAGAACCTCGTGAAGGAATATTCTCGGTTGGAGCAGAGATACGACAACCTTCGCGACGAGCTGACCATCATAAAGGCAAGGAGGGCGGTTCTGGCTCCGCAGCCCGCGTCCTTGGGCAGCTGCAGCCGCCGCACTGCTGTGCGACCCCCCGAGAGGCCCAGTAAACCTGTGCCACGTGAGCAGCGTTCCCCAGCGCCTGCTCCTGCCATTCCTGTGGGGAGTTACCGCGCAAGCAAGCAGCCTCGTGTCAGGGACAGCTCCTTCTCCCAACTCGGGGGCCTCACAAAGATCTCAGGAGGTTAAGGAAAATTCCACCCAAGTGTGTGTCATCTTTCTTGTTTCCTGTTCTGGGAAACTCCCTTGTCGGAACAATACTGGCACTGAGGAGTTAGGTCTCGGCTTCATTAGTCACACTGCAGAGAAGCCCCTGAGCGCCTGATGGTTTCTCCTAATCTGTGATGAAATGCAGCATGTAGAAATGTCCTTTCAGGACTTGTCACTCTTCTTTACCCCGAATAAACATTCCCTCCAGAAATGCATATTTAACCAAGATTGTAAGTTAATTGCATAGAAACCAGGAAGAGAAGCTGAATAGGAACACACATAGAAATCTAAAATTTCCCTACCAAGACCAGATTTCACTCTCAAAGCAAATCAGATGCATGGGGAGAAAAGGGGATATTTTTAAATGAATGGTATAAATGGTAACTTCTATTTCTAATATGCTTACTGTTTTCATAAACAAAATTAGTGGTGTGCAGGTTGAAGTTGGGAGCAGTTAGGAGCAGGTTTGTTAACATTCTTTTCAAGGGACAGGCCCATGGCAGGAGTGGTTTGTGCACTTTCAAGGTGAAACTGGGATATAAGGGTTGTCTCTCTAGGACTTCTCAGAGGGGTTGACCTAACTAGGGAACTGATTTCATTAAGAGACTCAAAGACACTGAGAAGGGACTGGTAGTGACCTGGTGGAGGGGTTGGGGCAGGGGGTGAAGTAGGAGCTAAAGAGGCACAAAATCTCAATCATAATATAGATTGGTCACAGGGATGAAAGTACAGCATAGAAAATATAGTCAGTGGTTCTGTAATGTCTTTCTATGTTGACAGTAACTACACTGTTGGGGTGAGGATTTAATAATGTATATAACTGGGGAAATCCTCCAGTGTTGTATACTTGAAACCAATATACTAATGTATATCAACTGTACTTCAATAAAATAAATCCCCCCCCCCACTGCCAAAAAAAGAAAAAGATAAGGGAACCCAGTCCTCACCGTGGAGCTGAGCTCTCTTCTAATTGTCATTTTGATGACCAAGTAAATGGATGACTGCACTATGGGGAAATCTTTTGTGGTAATAGCCCTCTTTAGCCATCATCCCAAGAAACAGTAATACCTAGTCTTGTTGACATATGAGGCAGAAGTCCAACTCTGGAGCGTACTGTTTTTGAAAAGTCATGCTTAATAATATCGGCTTGTGAGTTTAAACATTTTTCTTTTTAAACAGCAAACCCCAGGCCACAGGCGGAACCCATCAAACCAAAGTAGCTTAGAATCGGACTCCAATTACCCCTCCATCTCCACATCAGAGGTCGGAGACAGCGAAGATGCTCTCCAACAGGTGGAGGTGAGTATGGCAGGCTCTCGTGGCAGGCTCTGGGCCGTCTTTGTTCCAGAGGGCTGTTTTGCCTGTGCGGAGCGCCCCATCAGAGATTTACTATTCGGTTAATAGTGATCAGAGTGCCTGGGGCTCATTGCTGATAGCAGTATTGCTGGACTGCAGTGGCCTTTCAGAGCATACTCTGGAGCTCACATTTACTGTGCAGAGCAATACACATTGTTCACCCTGCCCACGATCCAGAAAGGAAGGAAGAAGGCAGATCCCTGCTTCCTCTTGCAAAGCTGAGACTCCATTGCAGAGAGATGAAATGGCTGGCCCAGGAAGGAATAGCTTAGGATGTGATGTATCACCCCCATTTAGTATCACAGTACATACAGAATATCAATAAATGTGCAAGAAAATTGTCCTTACTCGGAAGGTGGGTAAAACTCAGAACAACAATTATTTGGAATATTTACAATAAACATTTGCCAAGTGACTGCACCTTTGTCAGTAATAGCCTCTCAGAGTCACTAAATAATGTACCACACAGTGGCCTTTAGTCTTTGTGTCATTTTGTCAGAGGTACATAGTTTTTTCCTCTGGCCTTTGAGAAGAAGAAAATCACCAGCATGTAAAACTTATGAAGCATGTGAAGACAGACGTGGAGGAGAGATGGTTATAAAAGCGAAAGTGCTTTGAGCATTTGTGTGCCATGACTGCGGTGGTGGGTACTGGAGAAACAGCAGTGACCAAGCCAGAAAAGGTCCCTGCCCTCAGGGCGCTTGTCTGCTGATGGAGAGCTAGGCAGTAATCCATTGATGGAGGAAGTGTATAATATAATTGTAGGAACTGCTCAGTGCTATAAAGAAAAATAAAGGATAGTAAGAGATAATGATGGAGTAAAGGGGGAAGCATAGAAAAGGCGGTCCTCTGGATAAGAGGTTTATCTAGTGTATAGCTTAATGGATTCGCTACTTGCTGCATGCTCTTAGTAAGCATTTACTAAATGCTAGCATAAAGCTCATTTTAATCGCTGGAATTTGGGACTTGGGCACTTCAGTTGCACCACCCAGGCGTTGGTATATGTGGCCATTTGTGTGCAGACATAAGCACTTCCATCCCAGGATTTATATCCTCAAGGAAGCTGAGACCGGTTCTTGGTATTAGAGCAGCTAGCACGGTGCTCACTAAGCGTGAAGCACTCATTAAATGACAACTAAAGCAAATTATATTGTCCCATATATACACACACATGTACTTTGAAATTCCACGTGGATCTGCTCATTCACTTACACGTTTGTACATGCACACCCACACACGACAACTCTGGAAGGCAAACCCAGGCATGAAAATGAAGGAAAATCTATACTTTAAGATCTGTTGGACAAATGGGTTCATTAGCAGGGCAAGTATTAGTTTTGTGCAAGGTACAACCAAGTGGTGTTGACAGTACATTTCCAGGTATTAGTAACTACACTGAATCTTCATCAGGGACTGTTACATCCTGAGTTTTACAATTTCTCGGGTATGAGACATTTCCCAGAAATGAGCTCTTTTAACTTCCAAATAACATGGCTGTATCTTTATCCATTTGTTCTTGGAATACAGGCATATCTCATTTTATTGCACTTGCTTGCACTTCGAAGATACTACATTTTTTACAAATTGAAGGTCTGTGGCAACCCTGCATCAAGCAGGTCAGAGCCCCATTTTTCCAATAGCATTTGCTCACTTCGTGTTTCTGTCACATTTTGACAATTCTCACAATACTTCAGACCTTTTCATTATTGTGATTTGTGATGAGTGCTTGTGACTTTTGAAAGCTCAGATGTTGGTTAGCATTTTTAACAACAAAATATTTTTAAGCTAAGGTATGTACATTGGTTTTTTTTTTTAGACATAACACTATTGCACACTTAATAGACTACAGCATAGTATAAACATACGTCCCGGGAGACCGAAACACTCATTTGACTTACATTATTGCTGTATTCTCTTTATTGCGGTGGTCTAGAAACCTGCAGTAGCTCTGAGGTATACTTGTATGTGGTCGGTCATCTTAAGTGGCTCACACAGGAGGAATATAAATAGCCAAGATTCAGATGTTATCTAGACAGAAAATGAGCCCAGAGCACCAGCTTTCATATGAGAAATCATGGTCTGTTGGCATTGGTTTGTATCTAAGGTGTGGATTGATGTTTAGAAGAGATGACAGACATCCAGTAAAGAGGTAGACAGAGAGGGGCTGTGTGTACCCTACGGCATTTATGCTGTTAAAACCTTCCCTGCACTTGTGTTCCGCTGAAGGAAATCGGTCTGGAGAAAGCAGCCATGGACATGACAGTCTTCCTGAAGCTGCAGAAGCGAGTGCGGGAGCTTGAGCAGGAGAGGAAGAAGCTGCAGGTGCAGCTGGAGAAGAGGGAGCAGCAGGACAGCAAGAAGGCACAGGTGTGTAAGGAGCACCCCCAGCCTGTGGGGCAGTGCCCTGTTGGTCCTACCCCAGAGTGGCCCAGCTCACTCCTACTAGGGCACACATGGCAGGGTGTGACCACGTGGGGTTGTGCTTGTGCTGGGTTTCGGACAAGAGCTTCCATCATGTGTTAGCATCATACTGAGTCTTCTCTGCAAGGGCCCCAGATCAGCCCAGCTGACAGCAGTTAGCTGCCCAAGTGCTCCCAGAACAAAGGGTTTCCAGTACTGAGGCTAATGTATAAAGCCTGTGGCATTATCACCCACCTGCAAAGAGGACTGGGGTGTATAATTAAAGTATAAATACAAGAAGTCAAATTTTAGAAATGTCATTGCCCTTTTGTATCTGGAATCTGGCATGGACTTAAGTTTAGGCCCTGGTGTCAGGGGCAGACCAAGTTTGCTATCATTCACCCTTCTATCCCATGACTGTCCCCTCACATCAGTCCAGATTATCATCAATATCTTGGGTCTTGAAAGGATATTGTTTGAAACCTTGTCCCTAGATATATCCTCTATCTCAAGGACCCATTGGACATCTGTGCTACACTCAGCACTATGCTAGTGCCAGCCACGTAATAGGTATTCAAATGTTAATTAAATGAGAAGAAATAAAAATGTTAGAGAAATTGAGGAATTTGTAATCTAGTTTGGGAGGCCCAGATATAACACAGATTAGAAATTTTAAATGATGTTGGTAGTGCTCAAAGACATGTAGGGCTGGGTACAGGCTGGCACTGTAGGAATGAGAGCCCATTGTAGTTAGCAGTGATAAGGAATAAGAGCCACTCATTATTTCTTGGGAGGTATAAGGCCACTTCTAACAGGATGCAGGATGATTCTAATGTGGGTTGTATCGTAAGCTGGCCTCAGAGTGGGTTTGTCAAAGGGCTTTGGTCTGTTCTCAGGCCTGAACTGCCCATCACGGGGTTTGAGCCCTTCCTCACATCCTCAGCCCTACCACCCCCGCCCCCGCCTCTGTGCCGCCTCTCCTTTTGTAACACCTGACCTCCCCTTCCAGTCAAATGTGATACAGACCCTGATATGTAATGCTAGTAAATTCTTGGGTCCCGACCCCTCCCAGAACAGTAAGTGGGGAGGTACATCTTGCTGATGGACTTAAGTCTCTCCGGCGGCTCAGATTCAGAATGGAGAGCGAAAGGATTAGGTTTGTAAGTGACTCGTTCAGTTACAGGAGAAGCCGCCCTGACAGGCAAGCGCAAATCAAACGCATTCAGAGGTGCGCATACAACACCAGACAGTGCCTGATGTCAAAGTCCCTGGCCTGCACAGCCGCCCTGAAGAGCCACTCTCCAGGCTCCCCACCCCAGAAATGTCAAATAATTTTGAATTCTTGGCATTAGGACTTCTCTTTGTCTTGATACCATAAGGGTATTTCTTTCCTTAGAAAAGGATCACTGAGCAAGCTTTAGAACTGTAGGCTTGCCCGTAGCCCCGTTATGTGTATTGAGGATCTTCCTTTAAAGAGAATGACCTTTTTTCTGACAGTTTAATAAGAATGGCAGGACAGGGGAGAGCAAGGAATCCCTCTATAGCACCCCGAAATGAAGCTTTCAGAGACTGTGGTCTTGGATCTCCCCTTGGTCCCAGGAGGAATCCTGAGCCATCTGGGTCTTTATTCTGGCAAGATACAGCCCAGGGACTCGGCCATAGAGAGAGGCTGTGCTCTGAATGAGGAATGACAGGGAGGTCTAGGATATGCCATCAGTGTGGGAGTGACTGAGCCTGCCATGAGGATGGGGACTCTGTGACAGCCAGCCAGGCTGTTCTTGTGCTTGACTTCCCATCTACCCAGCAGCCTTACCTTGGGCCTGGCAGTCACCTTGGCCACCAGGGTGATTCCAGTGGGCTGCCCACTTAAATACATAACTGCCAGTCCATCTGAATACCGACAGCTCCTCAGGTTTGGGTAGATGATCCCCATTTTCCAAGATTTATGCATTCAATAGTTTTCCATGGTCACAGGGCAAGTCCACGCTATACAGGACACAGCATGGGCCTCTGGGAAAGCTGGTTAAGAGCTGACCCTGAACCGTCCATCCCCTACCATGGTTGGTGGGGAGAGGCAAAGCAGAGACTGGAGCCACGGAGAAGTGCTTTCCCAGTTCGCAGGGCTGAAATGAAACTGCAGTCAGAGCACATGTTCTTGATCTAGAAGAGCTGTGGGAGGGGCTCAGATCCAGTCCTGGCCTCCCAGCCTGGGGCACGGCTAATCCATCCACAGCTGGTGGCCACCTCACCTTGGACTTCAGGCTGCTAGCACTGTACATGATCTAATTAAGCTCTGATTGGTTTTAGCTCCAAAAACCCATCTTATTCAGTGACTATCACCCACTCCTTAAAATCATGCCAGGCAGTTAACCATTCATGAAGGTGTTTCTACCCCTTCTCATTGGGCAATTCAAGTCCAATAGTTGCCAAGTAATTATAGGAGCCATTGGCTCATCTGAGTCCTAATGAGCTAGTACTCCAGTTCTTGCCACCTACATCCAGCAGCTGTGGGATTTTAACATCTCACGGCATTTAGGGAGCAGCATGGTGGCCAGCTGTGTACTAACTACTACCTACCATACTGCCATACCACCTGTAGAGGGGCACGGAGGAAGCAGGCTTAGAGGGAATCAGTTGGGAAGACAGAACACACATGTGCACACACCCACCCCATAAAACCTAAGAGCAGCTCATTAACCTCATTAATGAGTACATAATTATTACAGTAACTTTCTTAGTACGTCTTACAGTGCTCGTTTCCTGGAACTCCTAAAACAAAGTACCACATACTAGGCAGCCTAAATCAAAAATATATTCTCTCATAGTTCAAGAGGCCTAGAGGCCAGGAATAAAAAACTACATGTCACAGGGCCATGGCTTTCAGGGAAATCTTTTCCATGCCTCGCTCTGAGCTTCCGGTGTTGATGGCAGTGCTTGTCATTCCTTGTTTGCAGCTGCGTAACTCCACTCTGCCTCGATTTTCACATAACACTCTCCCCTGTGTGTGTCCGTGTGTCCTCTTCTTATGAGGACACCAGACATATTGGATCAAGACCCAGCCTAATGATCTCCTCTTGATCTGAATACATCTGCAAAGACTGTGTTCCCAAATTAGGTCACATTCACGGGTACTGGGGGGAGGACTTCAGTGTAGGTTTTGAGAGGATGAAACTCAACCCATAAGACAGTGTTATACCTGTTCAACCTCTAGGTGCCTGTGAGGATCATGTGAATAAAGTTATAGGAGGAAGGAAGGCAGGAAGGAGTTATTAATGGAGAGCTTTGTGGTGGCCTGAGTAACAAGCTGTGTTTTGGAGGTTGGGAGGAAGCAGGAAGTTCTGGATAATTGGACAAGCTCAGAACAAGCACACTTTGACCGTAGTTGGAGTACTGTGGAATAGCTGCTCCTTAGTCCACGCCCACCTTTCTGTCTTTCTGTCTGTGCAGGTGGAACAACCAAAAAATGACCTAGATTTGGGCCAGGATGCCGATCTAGCCTACAATAGTCTGAAGGTAAGACTCTCAGAAGACAGACTTCCTTGAGCTTGTGCACAGGGGAGGCTGGGTGACGAAGCTGGGCAGCAGGGCGAGTCCTAAGCTCTGGCCCACTCTAAAGGGAGCCAGAAGCACACAATTTCCCCTGCCCTAACTTTGTGTCTCCATCTGTGAAATAAAGGAAAATTTGTATTTATGACAAGGAACTGTAACATATACTAATAGGAAATGGTTCCCTGTATTCACAACACTTCTGACACAAATGCACAAGTTTTCCACACCAAACAATTCTCCAGTTTTCTGTGGATGCCAACTGGGTGTCACCTGGTGTTAGCACAGACCCCATGAGTTAGGGGCTCAAGCCCACAGGACTGCCCCCATTTCAGATGCCAGCCACACTGATGGGTCCCCAGGTCACCCACACTTATGACTGACTAGGCTACAGAACAGGTTCCCCCGACCCCACCTCAGGTTCAGTGATTTTTAGAATGGCTGACAGGACCCAGGTGAGCATTTCACTTCCTCTTCCTGGCTAGTTATAGAGGCATAATTGGGAAACAACCAAATGGAGTATGTGCAAAGTATGTGAAGGGGCGCAGAGACCCCCTGCCCTCTCCAGGCGCCACGCTCTCAGCCCCTCCACGAGGCCACCGGCCCAACACGCCCCCCCAAGCGCCGTCGTTTAGGGTGCTCTCACCCAGGCGTGATTGGTTCATCCTTTGGCCGCTGGTGTTTAACTCCGTCTCCAGCCCTGCTCTCCTTTCTGGAAGTCTGACCACAGTTTGGTCCCTCTGGTAGCCAAATCCCTTGCCCAGGAGCCCCCGTCGGCATCGGCGGGGCATGGCTGAAAGAGGCTTCGGGGGAGAAGAGCCGCGCTCACCCATCAGGTTTTAGGAGCTCTGCGCCAGCAGCCAGAGACCAAGACCCAATATAACAGAAGATGTTCCTCTTGCCTTTATCACTATGAGTTACAAGAGTTTTTGGAGCTTAGTTTGGGGAGCCAGGACCAGAGACCACATCTGTATTTGTGATTATCACATAATATCTTAGCTACTTGGTAAGGTTTAAGTTAAAATGTGACAATGAATTCTCTTGGAAAAACGATCCAGACTTGCATGGTGTGAGAGGGCAGGCGGAGGGATCTCCCAGCGTCTCCAGGGCTGGCCCGGCCAGAGGTGGCGAGGTGCAGGCTGGAAGACCTCAGGTCCACTGGCAGGAGCCTAGGTGCACTGCAGAGATGGGGACAGGGCCCCGTGGCAGGGAGGGGTGCACAGAGAAGAGGCATAGGAGCATTCCTGCTCCCCTTTTCCCATTCTCAAGACCTCGGAACTTGGAATTTAGTATTTATCCAGGGTCAGTCAGTCTGATCCCACATACAGGACCACACACAACTTGGAGAATGGCTTCGTTGCCCAGGAGAACAGCTCTGAATCACGCCTGTGGCTTTTCGAACAACTAGGACCACACTGGTGGTATAAGAAGAGGAGGTTTGTAGGGTTTTCCCTCTTGAATTGTTGATTAGACTTAAAGATTTAAAACCCTCCATGGGGTTGGTGTGGGGGGGGCACCTTTCTCTTGACCTCATAATGCTGTGGAGCCAGACTTCTCCGTGCCATTCTTCAGCTACCCTTCCTAAGGTGGGCTTAGCCCTGTGGAAGAAAATGAGCAAGTGAACGGGGCTATGAGGGCATCCATTGCACCCCTCAGTTAGAGCTGAGTAAGACGCCGCAGCCAGTGGTTCTCCAGGAGCGGCACAGAGAGGGCTTGGCAACACTTGTCGGGAAACCTCAGAACCCTGCAACCCCTCCATTCTGCCTCTGCCAGCCGGGATTCTGAGGGGACAAGACCTGGTTTTCCCTTCATTGTCCCTGGTGAAGCCTGAGTTGACCTGTGGGACTTGTCACAGAGGCTGGTCCCAGGGACCCCCAGGTTTAAGGGAGGGTGGCCAGGTTTCAGTGTCATGGAGGCTGGCTGGGGTGCTTCTCACTGAGCAGCCCCAGATCTCCAGTGAAATAATAGAAATCGGACTTAATGCAAAACCCAGTCAGCCTGTACTTAGTGAGCCCCTGTGCTGTGGGTCTGGCTGAGAGCCTTCTGAGGGGCACCAAGGGGTGACAATGTGCTCTGCCCTCCAAACATGTAGCCTTCCTGGGCAGGTAGGACACAGCTCTAGACAGATGACGAGTCTGCACATCTGGCTACTCAGCTCTGAGTCTTCTCCAGTCAGACTTCTACCAAATTGGATTTGAAAACCTGCCCACAAGCCCATGAGTGAGATGAGGCTACTCTGGGGGGAGCCCTTTGACAAGTAGCATCTTTTGCTTAAACTCTGCATTCCCCTGCCCACCTGGTCCTTCCATAATGTGTAACGTAGCCCCAGTCCTAGGGCAGAAGCACACCGTTTGGACAGTGGGCTCAAAGATTAGGCATGCCACCTGTGGGGTGAGACTGGGTGGAAGGGTCCTGGGGCCAGTCACACCTGGCAGAGCATCACCCAAGGAGGTCTGAAGCAGTGGGACAGAGCTGACTGATGGGACTCCCTGGGCCCAGCGCCAGGAATCCTGGGCTCTAGTCCTGGTTCAATCTCTAAACTCTGTGAGTGATTAGCTGTTATATATTATGTAGATTATATGCAGTGGTCTTCTGGCTCTGTGATCCTATAACTCTATAATAAAAGTATAACCAATGCCCACTTATCCACATTTTTGGGTTTTCTTTGAGATACTTTGAATCCAAGGTATCCTAGGGCCCTCTGTACCAGCAATGTATGTGTGATTATCAGACTTTATATGATCTGATTTCATCTCAAACTGACAGTTAAACATTATACCCAGAAAATTTAAGATACAATCCAAAATTGAACTTCAGTGGTCTGTTTGACTCTGTACTCAGGTAGTTTTCTTTCACTGGCACTGGTGGTTGGTGGCTTTCATATGACCAAAACAATAACAGTGTTCCTGAATGTTCTCCAAAACATTTGTCCATGAGATGCTCTTCGGAAAAAAGGGAGGGCTCTCAAGATAAATACGTTTAGGAAAGCCTGCATTCTATATCCTCTCTTGGAAAGTCATAAAGTGCATTAATGTATTCAGGTTCTAGGAAGTCCTATGTTAAAAACATGTTGCTTACTATTAACCTGGCTTTTCCATAAGGTTGGGTTTCATGGCCAAATATGCTTAGAAATACAAACATTATTAAGTCACTTTAGGGAACGCTTCCATAAAGGCATCATGTCAGATGCCTCACACAAATAACTCAGGGCTGTGCTTTCAGATGCAGACCCCAGCTTTGACTGCTTGCTCACTCTAGCCAGAATTTTTACCATGTGTTTCATCATTCGAGTGGAAAGGTTGCTCTTAGCTCCCCAGGAGGACAGGGCCAGTTGGTGAAGGAAGGTGGAGAAGAAGGCTCACATGGGGGAGTGCCCCGGATCCAGGGAGAACTGATGTCTGGCTGGGGCTGTCTTCCAGAGGCAAGAGCTGGAGTCAGAGAACAAGAAGCTGAAGAATGATCTGAATGAACTGAGGAAAGCTGTGGCCGACCAAGCCGCAGAGAGCAGCTCCACCCATGGCTCCCCGGACAGCTACAGCCTGCTGCTGAACCAGCTCAAGCTGGCCAACGAGGAGCTTGAGGTTCGCAAGGAGGAGGTGCTCATCCTGAGGACCCAGATAGTCAGCGCTGACCAACGCCGGCTTGCTGGCAAGAGCACGGTAACAAGATGGTGGCAGTGGTTGGGCTTGTTGGGGGCAGGCGCACTGGTGTTTTCTTACATATTTGTTTGCATGAGGGTCTTAAACCTGAAAGAGCAGAGTCTTCTGCTCTAGGGTCCCTTGTAAAGGCAGAGCAAGGTATTTGTCCTCTCAGCACGACCTTTCATGGAAGACTTTGCTGGAAGTTTCTAGAATCTTCTCTTGGCCTGATTTTTCATCTTATGCCTTCCCCCTTGCCCTTTGCTTTGTTTCCTAGATGGAGAAGTTCTTTCTCCTTTCTCAGCCCTCCCAGGGTGGCAATGCCAGCTTAGCATTTGTTCCTAATGTTTTTACCTTCTGGGACAGATCGTGGAGCAGAAGGGAGGGGACACCTGGGTCACTCTGGGCTGTAAAAGGCTGGGCCACTTCTGGGCATGGGCCCTGGGGTGGTACAGGGTAGGGGTAAGTAGGCAGTAGTGAGCATGAAGGATCGAAAACACACTGATTTCAGTCACATCCTCTAGACTTGGGGTGCTTTCCCCTCCAGAACACCATTGTCACCATCTTCCCCCCACCAGTGTACATGCAGTGCCTTTTACAGCCAGGCCTGGTCATTGTGTCTTTTAAAACTACATTCCTGCCTGGGTTTAACTGCTGTTATCTAAGGTCATCCTAGTCCTTAGTATGTTTCCAAAGGCTTGTTTTTATACCTTAATGTGAAGTCATTTTATAAAATTATATATATAGCTAGTTCTTTTTTAATCTGGGACCTTCTAGGAGCCGAACATCAATGCCAGGACAAGTTGGCCTAACAGTGAAAAGCACGTAGATCAGGAAGATGCCATTGAGGCCTACCATGGGGTCTGCCAGACAAACAGGTAAGTGCCCCTCGTGATAACAGCCACTGGAGGACGCGGTAGGAAAGGGGCCATGCCCAACCTGATAGGAGCCGGCCACTCCTCAGGCCCTGGCCATGCATCGGGCAGCACTGACCATAGGAGATTAAACAAGAAGGAGCAGACGCAGTGGCCGTGCCCTTGGGTGGCAGCCTACAGTTAACTCCAGCAAGAGTCTGTGGTGCACCTGGAACATCCAGAATTCAGAAAGGGCGCCTCCCCAGGAGGATTGGCAGAAGGAAAGGGAGAGACTGGCTGAGAGGCCTTCTTGTTGGAGAGGGAAGCTGGCACGGGCGAGCCCAGCTGAAGAGTCAGAGGGAGCCTGCTCAGCTGTGTGCAGCAGGACATCTCCACTCAGCCACAGCAGCAGGCCCCACTCCCTAACATTTAAGAGACGAAATGCAAGCTGGGCACTGTAGAGGTTGGATGGGAGAATCTGACCATTACTATATTGGCTGAAATGAGCTTTCCCTAGATCAGTTAACCCACCACCTCTGGTCCCTCATCAAGGATGAGCTAACCAGGGTTAAGGCAGAAGAGCAGGACTGAGGGAGGCCTCAGGGCCTGGGATATAGGACAGAACAGAGACCCTAAGGTATGCCTGAGCGCTTGAGAATGTGAACTCGAGTTCATCCATTTTACCAACTGCTGACTAATACCTACCTGCTCAGTGCCTCTGTTTCCTCATCTGTGAACTGGGGACAGTCACAGCAGCGTACATTATATGGTGACAGAGAGGATGAGGCAAGTTAGTCCATATAAAGTGCTGGGCAGAGTGCCAGCTGTGGTAAGCCTGCGTTAAAGGTTGGAGTTGTCACTGCCTGATTATTCCATTTGCCTCCTCGTGCCTCAGTGGGCACTTGTACAAACAGAGCTGGCCTTTTCCCTGGCTCCCTTTCTCTCTTACCTCAACTCATTGATTGTTGATCAATCACTAAGCATTTGTTCAGGATTGTTGGAAATAGCAAACCCGTCCAGAAATTGTCAGTATGTGGCACTGGGGGTGTGACGTGAAGCTGTTGGCAACAATGTCACAGAATGGCTTGAAGACGTCTTAGGGCTTTGATTTTGAGAACTTCTTGTCTAGTCCCTCTTCAGATGAGGAAACCGAGGCCCAGAGGGTTGAGCTGCTCAGACACACAGCTGGCCTGACACTCAAGGTGGAATCCAGAAGGCCTGGCTCCCAGGCTGGGCGGCTTCCAGCCCACTGTGTGGGTAGTCAGAGGGAAGAAGGTATTGTAGCAGGGCCCCAGGGGGGAAGCAAGTTTATTCTGAGATACATAATCCTGTTCTCTACGGAGGGAGAGAAGGAAATGAAGGTGAGCCTCTCAGTGCGAAGACTGGAGCCAAGATTTAGTCATTTGAAATTATCTCAGGTTCAAGATAAGAAATGAGATGAATAAGAAAAAAAGAACACAGGTGATATTTAAAATTTAAAGAAAAAGAAGGAAACAGGCTGGGTCCTGACAAGCGAAAGTGCATTATCTTCCTGATCTTATCTCCTTTTTTTGTTCACCCAAATCGTTGTCAGGGATCCAGTCCAGGTGCAGGTTTTCCCAGGGGCTGCTTAATACCCTGGATTTGGCTTCCTTTGCAGCAATTTAAAGATGGTGATAAAATAAAAATAGCTTTTCTTATATTTTAAAATAATCCCGTTCCCAGCAAGCCCAGGGCACAATAGAGAACTAATAGCCTGTGGAACCGAGTTAAGTACAGAAGGAGCTGCTGCTGAGAGCGGGGAGGGGACACGAGGAGAACAGGTTCCCCAGGCCCGGCCCCCGGGAAGTGGCACTGGTGGGTCTGTGTTCCGGTTTGGTGAATCCCGGCAGTGAGGGGGGACAGCAGTGGGCAGCTGGCAGGGCCAAGGGTGCTGACTGATTGCTGGCCCCCTGGGCCAGTGGGGAGGACATCATGTCCCCGTAACAAAAGATCTTTGAAGAGGGAGCTGCTTTTCTTTTCCTCCTGTTTTCCCATAATGGAGAGAGGCTGGTTTAAATATAAGTTGTATTACACGGGGGCAACTGGGGGGTGTCCTCTCCCTAGAAAAACGTACACACTGAACTGTGCTTAGGTTTCTAAACACACTCTTAGGGATTCTAGACACTGCCCTCCATGCCCAATCACAGCCCCTTTAAGGGTCCTGGTCCCCACATCCAGAACTTTGTTCACCTGCTAGCTTTCAGAGTTTCTGGAGTTCTGTTTTGATCTTTACACTGTGTCTTCCTGTTTTCAAATGTGGGGAGAGAAGCCAGTGCTGAGGGCCTGCTCTGGGAACAGCCCAGCAGTAGGTAATAGCACTTCTTCCAAAAAGCGCTCGTTTCCGTATCTTGGGAGCTGAGAGAGATCAACATCATCATTACCTCCTTACGTGTGGCAAAACCAGGGAAAGAGGGCTGGTCCTTGCCCCAGAGCAAGGCTGCAGACAGCGGGTGTCTGGAGAGTCTGGCTGCTCAGATGTGTGGGGCCATGCCTGGAGGAGGTATCTGGGAGAGGGATGGGGCTGTGGGCTGGGAGAGCAAGGGACCGTGCTTACAGCTCTCAGGCTGGCCTCACTCCAGGTCATGAGCCAGGTTGGTGAGAGCATGGCCAGGGCACACGTCTGGCTACAGGACCAGCGCCTCTTTGGCCACTGGCTGTTTCCACTCAAGTTTTGCCAGGTCTGGAGAACTCCAGAGAGAGACTTGGGGTGCTTCACTGGACCTTTCCTCCGGTCCCAGAAAGCCTGCTGCAGTCCTTCCCACCCAGCAGGTCCCAGGAAACAGGAGGCCCTCAGCACAGAGTGCAGGCTTGCTCCTGCCACCCGGGCTTGGGCCGATAAACCTGGGTCACTTCTTGCCCTCCAGTGGGCCTGTCTGGGACAGTGGAGACCTTGTTTAACCAGGAAGAGGAGTGTGCAGCCTCCTTAGGGTGGGCTTGGAGTTTATGGCTCCTTTGACCTTGAGCCCCAGCTGCCACAGGATGTCTTGGTCAGAATGTCAAAGAAAGGGGAAGGGTCTGATTCTGCTCAGTTCCTGTCAAGCCCTCACTTTAACTACTGCTGCCTGAAAGCTCGCTGCTTCCTTTGAGGAGGTGATCATTCCCTTGTGTTTCCCAGAATTTGTTGGTCCTGAGCCATCAGCACCGTCTCTGCTGTAATTCAGTGGCATAGCCATATTCATCCACAAACCATTCATTCTTGAGAGGCCAGGCCTGTAGTTTCAGGTTTCTCTTGGTGATGGTCTTGGGGTTGCCACCTCCCACTTCTCAAAGATTCCAGGCATCTCCTGATCAGTTGGTAGAAAGTCCACATGTGAACCAAAGAAATGAGGACACCCATGGGGCTCAAAGTGGTCTTTTTACAAACAGGAAACTGACCATCTCCAAGCTGGCGGGAACCTTGTCTGTTTCTGTCCACAGGCAGGTCCTTGAGCCCCAGCAGAGGGATGGCTGTTTTTCTATTCTCCACCAAGGGAAAATAAATCTCATCCTAGGCCTTTTCTGGAGTATGACCTTTACAGTTAATGAGGGTATATAATTAAAGATCTAGAAGTAACCACTCAGATAATTCAGCCAAGCACTTTCACTTTTCCCATGAAGAAACAGGCCCAGGGCACGTAGGTGATTAGCCCACCTTGAGGTGCCTTTAGGGTGCCTGGTTCTCCAGTGGGTTTCCTAAACCGCTGTCTCTCGCTGCCTCCTGCATCTGGAGACTCTCCCTGCTTACTCGTGTGTGTCTGTGGCCTCTGTGGGAACGGGGCGAAGCACAGTGACATACAGACAGGAGGTTCTCCTTGAACATTTGTTGATTATTTAACTGCCATCAAGCACTTAGGCTTTAAACATTCACGTGAGCTGAATTGTTTGGAATTTTCTTTCTCCACCACGAGGTGGCGCTCCCTCCCAGCCCTTGAGTCAGTGGTGTGTATGGAGGGCAGAGAGAATCTCCTCTGTGGATTTGGTTCTCTTTCATCAGGGAACAGAGGGCGGACCTGGAGTTTGTTGACTGCTTTTTAATTTACTGTGTTCCTGACTTCCTGAGCACTGGGGTGACTGGCTTTGTGCACAATGCCTGGCATGTTACCGAGTTCGGAATTCTGTGAGTGTCTGTCTGAGCAGGGATGAATGCTGACTTCCTCACTGTATAGCCCAGCTGCACACATGCAGCCCCCTGGAGGGCGAGCAGTCGGACTCAGTCTGCCCTCATGGGCGCGGTGGGAGTGCGGCGCCTGCAGAGCGTCCTGGCAGCCCCTCCTGGGTGCCTGAGGGGCCAGCCCCCGCCAGGCCAGGAAGGAGATGGAGGCCGGGTTCAGGAGACCATGTGATTTCTAGCCCAGGGTGTCAGGTGAGTATCTCCACTTTGGGGTCTCTCCACGGTGGAAAAGGCGACGGTTGGAGTAAAGGATCTGTGTTCCCGAGTGGTAGTGATGCTGTCCCCAGGAATGCAGCTGTGCCCAGGAGTCTCCCCAGTGAGCAGCCCACGAGCCACCAAAGGGCTCTGCGGCAGTGTAAGTGTCAGGCCTGAGAAGGGACAGGTGCTAAGTTCTCAGCTCGCCGTTGGCATGACCCAGGTCACCTTGGGTTCGCTGGGATAAATGGAACACATAGGACAGTTAAGTGCTAAGCCAGGAGAGCCGGGGGTGGAGATAGGCAAAAGTCTATAACCAGAGGCAGCTTCTGGGGAGGCCGGGCCTAGGGAAGAGCTCCGGACATTTGAGGACCAGAGTCTTCAACAGGGAAGGTCTCCAGGGTAAACTTGTTGGCAGTAATCCCCTTGCTGCCCCGCTGGAGGAAGAATAGCTGAGACAGTATGGGTAGATCCAGGGAGGAGAAGCCTCAAAGTCACCCCAAGCTCTGTCTGCCACCTACCACCCAGTTCCACTGGTCTTTGAGGATCTTTTGTGTACCTAGGTCTGTGTGTAAGGCAGGCAGGCACACGGATGGGCAAGCGTGTGACATGGGCCTGATGCCCAGGAGCTGCCCTCTGGCATCCGGCAGACCCCAGGCAACTGGAGAGGGCAAAAGAATGTGCTGATGGAAGGCATCTGGCCACCTGCTTTCTGCATTGAGTAAACAGGAGTAATGCACCCCAGTCCCAAAGTCGGGGGAGAAAATTCAGTTGTCATGCTCAGAACAGTTTATTAGTAGTTTCTTTAAGACTGCAGCAGGGACTGGAGTTGAGACTGGCTAATACTTTTGTGCCCTTTAGCGACAGAGATGAGAGACACATTGAGAAGCAGACAAAATATATAGTGACCTTTTCCCCCTCCCTGAGCCAGGTGTCCCCAGGGCGCTGCCCCTGCTGCTCGGTGCGGTGCACAGGCAGGCAGTCTGCTCACCTCTGCAGCTACCCCCATGCAGCTCCCCTCCTCCCTGCCCTGCTTGCCTCTCTCCTGGTTCTCCGTTTTCCTTTCTGAATCAACGCGGTAGAGGGCAGGGTGGTGTGTAAGCATGTACAGGCTTACAGGATCCCTGGGAGAAGGGCACCCCTTTGCTCTCTCTGTTCCACCACGTGGTTTCCAGCCCATGGGATCAGTGAGCCCCTCGGGAGAGCACAGGAGCCCACTTATGATCCAGTAACTGGGCCATGGGAGACCTGGGGGAGAGGGTGCTCGCAGCCCCCACACACACACCCTGTGCTGGGCATGGAAGAGGATGAAGCTGGGCGTTCTTGAGCCATTCCCTTTCCTCACTTCCAAACCTTGGCTGGAATCACCTCACTCCCCTGGGCTCTCTGCCTCCCTGTCTCTTTCCTCTACTCTGGACACCCTGTGTTTTTTTGTCCTTTATTTCTAGCAAGACTGAGGACTGGGGCTATTTGAATGAAGATGGAGAACTCGGCTTGGCCTACCAAGGCCTAAAGCAAGTTGCCAGGTCAAATACGTGCCTTTCTCCCTGTGTCTGCTCTGTCTGCTCTGCCTGCCCGTGTCTACGCTTAACTGTCCTTCACTGGAGTGGATGCGAGGGCACAGGGCCCTGTTCAGGGGGAGCCGGTGGCCAACCCCTTGGGGGGCCCGTCTGGTACTTTGGGTCCAGGCTGTGTGGATGAGTCGGCGGAAGCTGCCTGTGTGGGTCAAGGTAATAGCGCTTGGTGGCTCAGTGGGACCCTCAGGAGGCGAGGACACCAAAGCGTGCCGGGTTTAGGATTAACTTGCTGCTGAAGTAGAAGATCCCAAATTTGAACCTGGTTCCATATGATACCAGAGTTTGAATCCATAAGCCACTGACCTTCAGCCATAGGTGGAAAGGTGAGCAGGGGGATGAGGCAAGCCCGGAAACAGCACAACATGTCGTATATTGGTTGCCAGCAAGTGGCTTCTCAGGGCTGTGGCACAGCTGGCAGTGTGAGCCTCCCAACAAAGGGTGGGATGATGGTCTTCAGAAGAGAAAACTAAGGCTGGACGAGGTGGAAGGAGTCTGTTCGCACCCCTCTCAGCCCAGTGCTGGCAGAGCTGGAACAGGCATCTGGCACCCTTACGCATCATTTCCAAAGTTCTGGCTGCCAGTGACAGAGTGAAGGGAGTGAAGGGCTTAATTCAGAAATAAGAGTGTCTCTTCTTGGGAAATGAAAGTCCAGGTGAGCTGGTTTTCAAAGCATTATGTCTTCTGGCTCTGATTTCAAATGTAGCCCCACCACCTGTAGGCAACATGACATCTGTTTTTTTCTCTGGTAGAATGTGGGTCAGAATTGGGCCTGCCTCACTGATTATAGGAAATAGGGTTAACACGGTGAAGCACATTGCTCATACCTGGCATGTAGTAAGCACAAAATAAATGTTAGCGGCCACTTCTTCTATACTGGCTCTTATTCAGTAAGATGGGATTCCTGTCCTGCCCAGAGGTTTCACTGGAATGGGGAACCTACAAGTTAAGTCAGGTGATTGTGCATGGCTCTCTGTCAGCCGATCAGATGTTTTTAGTAGAAAAGTACATGAATACATTAACAAAGAGAGAAAGCAGTATGTGAATACATTAACAAAGAGAGAAAGCACAGGCCTATGCATCAGGAGACCTGGCTTCTAGACCTGGCTCTGCCATTGGCTGTGGCCATAGTCAGGTGAACTGGAAACCTGGCACCTGCAGGGGTTACTGGACTTCCACAGAGCCCTGGGCTAAGTTACCCAACTCTTTGTGGAGAGTAAAACAAAATGTGAGCAGTACATTCACAGCCCAGATCAGGAACTGATCCCTGAAGTAGAGTACCTAGAGCCCAGGTGTTCCTGTTCTCTCTGCCTCCCATTACATTTACAACTTACAGCCTTTAGTGCAGTGTAGCCAAGACTGGGTGTTCTCTAGATATTGTACGTCCTCTAAAGTGCTGATTTAAATACTAAATATTCTCCACAATCCTCACATTATTACTGCTTTCCTGTGGTAATGCTGCCTATGGTGAGTAGGCAAATCAGTCATTTCTCCATCATTTCTTCATTTGTGGAACTTTGTTGAGAAACCACTGGAAGCCAAGCATTGCATCCAATGCCTGGGCTACAAAAAAACATGGTTGCTTCCATCTGGGAGTTCACAGTGTAGACTTTCTCCTCTCTCTTAATCCAAGCTAGAGGAGCCTCAAAATCAAGATACCTCTTCATGTCCCTGCTTTGAGAACAGCCATGGGACTCTAACAGCTGTGTCCTAGGCACCCCCAGCTTCCTGACTCTGTGCCCAGCTTTTATTACAGTCTTTATCTGCATCCCAGGAAGAGACAGGGGTGAATTTTTAACCATGTGGACCATGGCAGGAAGCCGTTGGTTGTGTATTTTATGTAGAACCTCCTACCTTTCTTTCATGTCATTATTTACTTAATTTACTTGATTATTTACTGTGCTGAATCAGAAAGTTTGTTCCAGAAATTAAGTCCAAGAAGATAGCACCATAGTTCATAGTAAGAGTTAACTTCCTGGTAAGGAGGTGCTTAGGAAGCTTGGTTAATTCCTCACCTTCTATTGTGGAACAGGGGACCCCAGAATCGCCCAGGGAGCTTTCAGACTCGTAGTCTTCTGAAAGTTCTCCCCAACCTTCCTCAGATCCTCTGGGTCTGTTTGCTTCTTGTCGTGATGCTGTTGATCTTAAACCTTCCCCCATATCATTTGCAAATAGTCTTAGTTTCTCTCTTGACTAGGGAAGAAATTGTAAAGCCAGAGATAAAGTGGGGTGCCAATAAATAGTGGGGATGGAGATTAGCAAGAAGATTCTTATGAGCTTTGGGGCAGATGTGGATGCTTTTATTTAAAAGATGTTGTAAGAAATTTATTTCCGCTGATGACATTTTGACATGGAGGTACTCTTTCAATCCCAAGCCAACAGACTGCTCACAGAACGAGGAACAGGGGAATGAGGGGGGTCAAAAAAAGGCCAACGACCAGGGTGCTGTGTTTGGCCCTGGTTTCCATCCTCCACAAGCAGGTTAGGCTGGCCCGCCTGCCTCATGAGCCCCATGGATCCGCTCCCCTTGGCGTCCGTCCCACTGGGCTCGTGCCATTGCTGATGACTGCCTGCTTGGCTGCTCCCCACCGCATGTCCATCTGTGGCCCCCACTGGCCCCCCCTGAGCCCCACGGTCACCTGCCACCCTCCCCCTGGTGCAGGTTGCTGGAGGCCCAGCTGCAGGCCCAGAGCCGTGAGCATGAGGAAGAGGCGGAAGGTCTCAAGGCCCAGGTGGAGATGCTGAAGGAGGAGCTGGACAAGCAGCAGCAGACCTTCTGCCAGACGCTGCTGCTCTCCCCGGAGGCCCAGGTGGAATTTGGCGTCCAGCAGGAGATATCCCGGCTGACCAATGAGAACCTGGTGAGTAGCCATGCCCAGTGGATCCCACTCTGGGAAGTCATGTTCTGGAAGAAAATAGGACCGGGGATGGCCATGAGCCAAATAGACAAGGTTCATGTCATTGGCTCTGTAGCAGGAACAGAGAACCTAGCAACCTCGTCAGCAAGTGGAACTCCATTATCTGTCACTGTGGGACCAGCCCCGCCCACCACCTTAACTTAGTGTTAACTTAGCGGCTCAACACAGCAACCACAATTGTGTGGGTCGGGAATTCAGGAAGGGCTCAGCGCTGACCGTTTGTCTCTGCTCCACGCAGTGCTGGTGTGGCTCACAGCTCCATCCATGTGGTCCCTCTCCCTGTGCAGGTGGTCTCTTCGTTCATTGGCCCGCCCTGAACTGCTCTGCATGGCAACTGACCTCCAACAGGATGAAAGCGGGAGCTAGGAGGCCTCTCAAGACCTAGTCCCAGACCTGCCACATTCTATTGACCAAAACAGTCCATGGCTAGGCTGGATTTAGTGGGGGATAGACTCCTGTCACTGAGTAACGGGAGGAATGGGTGATGGCCATCCTTGCAGACAGTCATCAAATGAGCCCTGGAAGACAGCCTCTGTCCTCGAAGAGCTTACAGGCTGGTAGGGAAAACAAGATATAAAAAAGAAGAGAAAGAAGATGGCGGTTCAGAAAGCATGATTCTACCTGAGATTAACAAGAATTACAGAAAAAGAATTGTGGGGGCCGCTTTTGAGAGGAGCTGAGTCAGGAGCTGAGAAGGGGTTGTCAGGTGTGTGAATGGGCAGAGAGAGAAGCGTGGCCACAGGCGCTTGACCAGAGTGGGGGCGGGCAGAAGGCGGAGGAGCACAGGAGGGCCAGTGGCCTGGAACTGAGTGTGCCTGTGTGGGAGCAGCACAAAGTGGCCGCAAACCTGCCCAGCAGGTGTGCACACAGCAGAGCTACCAAGCCAGCAGCCCAGTGTGGCTGCATTTCCCTTACAGCTAAGTGACCCCACGGTTGCTATTGGCTCAAGCAATCCCAAGGGAAGAAGTGGGACCCTGGACCACAGGTCCCTGAATAGGACATGCATAAAGATGATCTGCCCTCCCCCTTCTGTTTCTCTCTCTCTGCATGTCACAAGTGTGCAAGCGGGGAGCTTTTTAAATTTTTTTTAAAGAAATGTACATATTAAATTGGGCCAGCTGCTACCAGGTAAAAGAGTTAGTGTGGGAAATGCCTTTGCTGGCCAGTGCTCCCTGGAGGGGCCATTGGTCAAGTGGTGACCACCTTCAAGGAGAGCTGTGCTCCATGGAGGAAGCGCTTGGGAGTGAGTGGTCCATGGGGCCTGAGCGGAGCCTGGCTTGCTGGGTGGGTGAAAGTGAAGATAACCAGCAGAGCTCCACCTTGCCACCTGCTGGGAGACTTCTGGAGTTTGGTCTGCTGTTTGCCCAGGCAGAGGCTGTGGCCCACAAGCAGACCAGCAGGGGGCTTCTTGATTTCTGTTCCCCTGCTGAGCAAGCATTAGTGCCTCCCACCTGCTGGCCAGCAAAGCTGGGAGACTGATATCAGCAGGGAGGGCAAGGCCCGCCACAGGCACGTGAGGATGCCTCAGAGGTCAACTTTACAGGCATTCAGGAGGATGGCTTCCAGCTGGAATGACCAGGGAGGCCGTGATGCTGTCACAGAATTGTGTAGGAGGAGGGATGTGATCATCTTTCCTGGTAGCAACTTGAAAAGTATAGAGATGTCATCAGACACGCCCATCTCTCAGTGTCCAAAGTCCCGCTTTCATAAGCCATCTGTAATTTTAGCCTCTGACTTTGAGCCTCAGCAGCTCCACAAGTTGCCCACCCAGCATGTCCCACACTGATTTCCCTTTTATTTGTCTGAAGTTTGCTTACTGCAAGCTTTAAAGATCCCCAGGCGGCTCCAGTGTGCTGCAAAGTTTGGAAACCTCTGCTCTATACCATTCCTCAGGACATGTTAAGGAATTCAGCATCCCAGGACTTGAGGGAAAGGGCATAACAAACTGGCAGAGCTGAGCTGCGCTAAGCTGCCATTCAGAAGTGCAGTCTCCAACCCCCAGCTCCCCACCCCATTGTGGTCCAGGGGAAATATTGTATTTCCTGGGCTCTCCCCCCAAAAGTTAGCTGAGATTTCCGATCTCCTGGAGACAGAAGATAATAGGATCCAAGGCCTGACTACCAGCTTAATCTTTCCTTGTTAGAGTGCCTGGTGTTATAATTAGCTGCAAATAGGTATTGGAGCATTGATTTATTGTCTGACCTCCTAGAATGTAGAAAAAAGATTTAAAGCAAGGGTAAAAAAAATTTCAAACAGTGTATTCAAAAAGAAAGAAGCACATTTTTGTGTTTTGGTTTCGGTAGCATTGCACAGGGGATGTGGAGACAGGGTGGCAGTTGCAGGAAGGGTCTCCTTCCTGACTGTGGTCTGGAGCAGCCCAGCCTGAGTTCCTCCTCCTGGGTTGGTCAAGTCATTTGCCTCCAACCAAAGTTTCATCATTTGCAAGAGGAGGAGCCCTAGATAAGGATTCAGTGCAGCTGGAGGTGCAAAGCGTTGTGTGAGCACAAGGTAGAGGTGAGGGTGGCACTTGGCAAAGCCCCAGAGCTGGGCAGACAGCCCAGGGAGCCACAGGGATATTGGCACAACTCGGGAAGGATGCTTAAGAATGAGATGGAGTTTGAGTACAACTGTGGGTTCATAGGCAGCCTTACGAACCCCACAGAGTCCTGCCTGACGTTCCTAAAGATGCCTAGGTCCTTTCTCTGGACTGACCCTATAGCTCAAGTGCACTCACTCCCTGGTCGGTATTTTATTCTGTGCTGCCCCTCCTGCCTTTTACATACCTCTCAATTTTGAGAGCTTTTTTAAATTTGTGCTCTTTTATAAGATAAAGCAGTACAGTCCTTGACAAAGCTGTAACTAGCTTTGTAGCATGCAGTGCCCTCACATTGCCGCTGAGCTTTGGGCTGGCTCGGTCTGTAGGCCAGACTTGAAAAACTGTCCCCCGGATGTCCACCAAGGCTCCACAGAGGTGTGTCTGCTTCTGACTTCCACATTGCACCCAGTTACAGAGACTGTAATGGTGACTGAGCTCCCAGCCTCTCCGGCCACAGAGGACCACTGCCCAGCCAGATGGGGATGACATTAATGCTGTTCCCCGTCCCAGGGGGCTGGTCTACTCCCAGGGCAACAGTTGCTAGGGACTGAGCAGCCACAGAGGGGCCCCTGGCTGTGGGCCTGGTTGGCTTCTGGGTAATCTCACTGGTCTGCTGGCTCTGCCAGCCTACTGCCTATCTCCTGACTTTCACCTCTACCTGTCCTTTCCTTCCCACCCACCTGGGGACCCCTCAAGGCTGAGTGTCTCTTGGGGGGTTGGCACAGCAACCTGAGGTACTTGGCCAAGAGAACCATGTAGTTGAGCAGGCTGCCAGGCAGGCTGAGCTGGGGGGAGCTGCCCTCATCTGGATAGGATGAACATGACCCATTTCCCACTTCCTGGGCTCAGACGAGGGAGCGGCGAGCTGCGTGGTGCCAGTCTCCTCAGCTGGGTGCCCAAACACCGCGCTGGGCCCCGGGATTCTACACCCTGCCCTCCAGAACAGTGTTCAGTCTATTCTCACACTACTTCCTTCTGCTTTAGGACCTTAAAGAACTGGTAGAAAAGCTGGAAAAAAATGAGAGGAAGCTCAAAAAACAACTAAAGATTTACATGAAGAAAGTCCAGGACCTAGAAGGTAGGGTGTGTGTGACCATGTGTTTTATGAAGCCATGCCTGGGGAGGAGAGCTGCCTGCCTCCCTCTGCAAACTCCTTCCGCCTTTTTAAGTTCTTGTGCCCATGTATAGTCCAGTCACGGGGTGGAAGAGGTCAGACTCCACGAGCTCAAACCTTCTGCTTAGCTAGACTGACCCCACCCGCCCGAGGGCCCCTCCCCATGCTCCTGCAGGCTGGAGGCTCCATGCACCACTGTCTCTCTCTTGCTCAGCTGCCCAGGCATTGGCTCAAAGTGAGAAGAAGCGCCATGAGCTCAACAGGCAGGTCACCGTCCAGCGGAAAGAGAAGGACTTCCAGGGCATGCTGGAGTACCACAAGGAAGATGAGGCCCTCCTCATCCGGAACCTGGTGACAGGTCGGGACCCTGCATGGCCCCTCCTCCCAACCTCTGTCCTCGTTCCGCCTCTCCCTGCTCCACTGCCCACCAGGCATGTCCCAGCCCCACCCTCCCCTCTGCCCGCCACTCACTCATCCACCACTGCGAATGCCCCACCCTCTCCCCCGCACACCTATCACCTCAAGCTGCGGCATTTCTAACACACTCCCAGGCCACACCGATGCTGTAGCTTGTGTGCAGGCTGCCCTCTGGGGGCCACATGCAGGGCTCTTGGGAGCTGCTTTCCACCAGCCTGGTTTGCCAACTGTACCAGCTCGCTCCCCACTGGTCTCAAGCCCTGTCTGACTTCACCATGCCCAGCTTCCTGCTCTGTGCCAGGCAGGTGCAGCAGAACCTGCAGACCCAGGAGGAAGCTGCTTAGAGGAGGGGGTCGGAAAGAAAAGAGGAATAATCTCTGTGGTCCAATCCTCTGCACCCCGAGCCTCTAGCTCCATTCTCTAGAGCCTTAGTTTTCCCATATGGAAAGTGGGGATGAGGATACTGACCCCCACCAACCCTATCAAGTGAAATCTACCAAAGATGAAAGTGCTGTGTTAAAGCTACGAAAACCTTCTCAAATGTGAGGAATTGGAACATGTAGTAGCTCTTGTAGGTATTTAAAATTCAAATAAGAGGTAAACATTATTTTGGAGAAATTTAAGTTTATTGAGGTCCCACGCTGCTGAGCACTGTGCCAAGGGGCACAGAAAGAATGGAGCGTGACTTTGGCTCAGCACAGATTTTGCTCAGCGCTTTGCCTTGGGTATTTTTACTAGCTAAGTATTTCTCTTTTTATAAAGGTGAATTTCTCCTACAGTTGTCAAGCAATTAAGTGTGATATAAGTCACCTCAAACTTTTCAAATGGGCTGCATCTTACCCAAATGCTGCTAGGAATGAGCCTTTAATTTCCGGTGAATGAAACTGACAGCATCAGACCGGCAGACAGCTGTCTCCTTCCCACTGTTCTTCCTCAGGTGGGCCCAGGCAAGGGCACTGCCTACTAAGCTGTCTGCACCAGCACAGTCACCTTCTCTCCGAAAGGCCTCATCTAAACAAATGCCAAGACTTTACTGACTGTCTCTTAGGAGCCCAGCACCTGCTAATCCCTGTGGAAGATCCAAAAAAATGCAGACCCATGGTCCCTGCCCCTCAGGGCCAACGTTTATACCAACAGGGAAACAGGACTTAAATCATGGTAGAACCTTCCAAGGCAGGACAAGCTGTTTATAATCTACACATGGGTTGAGCTTAAAGAAGCCTGGGCCTTAAAACACATTTTTCTGTGTAATGTTACTGGTATTAGAGTCAAGGACCAATCCATAGCCCTCTGTTGAGCCTGTGAGATGCCCGAATGCTAACCATGTGCCTGGAGTATTATGGCTTGTAGTCAGAATTTAGCTTGAAGGATAGGATGTAGCTGAGGGGACAGTGGAAACTAAGCGCCAGTTGGAGCATCCCCAGCCCAACCTAGGACATTTGGGGATGTTGCCCCCTCCCCTCCCCTGGCCCACCTACAGGTGAGGGGAGGCAGCCCCCTGCACTGCCATGCCAAGTCTGAATGTGGCTCATGAGACCTGGGCTGGGTGAAGGTTGGGCGTAGAGGTAATGGAAGTGAGGGATGAGGGCTGGAGGTGCATCACTGGGGCCTTGTGTGCATCTTCCCTTTGCTCTGGGCCCTCCTCCCCCTCTGGGCTCCTATCACCACTCACTGCTCTAAGCCTGATTTGTTCTAGAAGCTTCCTGTGACATGGAAAGCAATCTGACAGTTTCCCCTGGCCCTCCAAGGGCTTTGGGCAGGGAAGGACCAACTGAAGACTCAGGATAGGAGTCTGCAGGCCGTGGAGAGACACTCGAGCTCCTTCCAGTCCTGCCAAGCAAACCTGGCACAGGTGTAGGCTGCAGAAGAGGGCAGTTGTGGGGGCGGGGAGTTGGGATAGTGGCTGTCCTGACTGTGGCCAAGTTAACACTGGCCAAGAGAGAGGCTGGTGGTGAGATGCATGTCAAGTGGTGGCACTGGGGAGGGGAGAGAGTAACAGGCTGTCAGCTGCTTGGCCTGCTGGTTCTGAAGATGTCTGGGCAGGCGATACCAGGTGAATCAATTCCACACTGACAGCTAAATGGGCTAGAGGTTGCCCCAGCCTTCCCATCCCTGGCACACTGGCTCTGTCTTGGGGAGTGTGCAGTTAGTTTGCCAAGTTCTCCTGGGCCAGCCATTGCAGTCTCACTGCTCAAGAGCCCATTTGCCTCCCACAGGAAGTGCTGATACAGAGGGATGAGGAGTTCTGCCCTGTGTCCTGGCCAGTGGGTTCCTGTCATCAGCCACCTCTGGCCGTCAGGCCCCTTCTGGACATGACTGTGGCCTCTGGCCTCTGTGTAAACTCAGGCAGGGAGTGGCCTGTGGGCTCTTTTCCTCCAAGCTGTGAAGACAAGACATCAGGAGCCTGTTCCGCTGCTGTAATCCAAACAATTAGGGATATGTTTTTGTTAGTTTGGGGATTTTAACTAGTTTCTGGAATTATTGGTAGTCAAGGTCAGAAGGCATTTGTGTATGAGGGTTAGCTTCTCCCCCGCCCCACACACCCCTGCCCCAACCCCTCCACCATGAGAGGTCATTCTTAAATAAGATACACGAAAACCTTGAAAGTCTTTGTATTTCAGATCAGGATTCTACAGCTCCAAGCATCTGCATAAATCTAATTCTTACTGTTTGTCACTCTCAGACTTGAAGCCCCAGATGCTGGCAGGCACGGTGCCCTGTCTTCCTGCTTACATCCTCTACATGTGCATCAGGCACGCAGATTACATCAACGATGACCTCAAGGTGCACTCTTTGCTCACCTCCACCATCAATGGCATTAAGAAAGTCCTGAAGGTAAGCATCCCATGCCGAAGGTAGGGGTTTGCAGTGGATTGAGCGAAGCCAGCACCTCACCATTGCTCCTGTCTGGGTTTTGCAGTAGCAAGTTCTGCAAAGTCTCCAGTTCTGAGGGTAAATGACAGAAGCACAGAAGCAGCCTGTCTGTGTAAGTGGGATGCCCTGGGAAGCTCCCAGGGAATGCTCGCTGAGGCTCAGAGATGGTAGGAAGCCCAGAAATATGGTGTAGGCCTCTAGGGAACCCCGGTTCTTCCAGAAACCTTTACCAGAGATGCTAGGAAGACATCCTGCCTCAGCCAAGGTTGGGCTGGCCTCGCCCTGGAGTGACATTCAGGGACACAACCTGAACACTTCCTCTCCCAGACCTTTCCACGGAGCCAGGTGCCTGCTGTCCAGGGCAATGGCATAGGAAAAGGTATAGACATTCATCAGCTTCTAAAGTGAGGCAGCCTGAGCCGGGAGAGGGCTGCCTAGAGGCCCAGAAGCAGCTCAGAACTCCACCTGGAGGCTCAAGGTGGCTCTTGAATATAATGGCAGCCACTGTGGGCACAAGCTGGCCTACAGGAAGGTGAGCCCTGGACCAGACATCGGGAATGAGATTGCTGAAGGCGACAAACCTCCCGGCAGGCCCCAGCCCCAAGGGGTGCTGCTCTTAGCGACCATCTTCAGTTCTCAAGCACACTGCCCCTTCAGGATGCACGCCACCCTCCGAAACAGAGTCCACACCAGTTCTGAGACGTGCTGAACCACTGTTGCCTGCCCCCCTTTCCCCTCCATGAGCTCGTCAGAGCCAGCCTTGAACTTCATGCCATGTTTGTATCTGCAGCCACACTGCCTCCCCTGCCACGGGCTCCATGGGCAGTTTTGTCCACCCCCAGATCTAGAGACGTTACCTGCATGCTGCTGGCTCACACTGGTGTCTCCTGTCTTGACCTCTTTCGTGAGTTCCAGCTGGGGGCTTATGCCAGTCTAACTGACTCTTCAACTGCTTTCAAATGTCACTTCCTCCAGGAAGCCTTTCCTAATCACAGGGCTCAGCTAGCATGCCCAGCCCCACCAACTTTCTGGTCATGTCCCTTGTGTTATTACCATCATAGCACACACCTGTATATGACATGTAGGTGGTGGTGCCCCTGCCTGATGGGATGCTCTCCCTGAAGGCATTGGTCTAGGTGCAGAAACTGCAACATAATGCTTTGGGGTGTTGAGCAGCCCTTTTCATTTAGTTACAGTTCATAGCCCTTTTCCAGACACCTGACAGCTAGGTAAACAGTACCAGAATGCATCACTGGTATGCTCCCTGCATCTCTTATCCTGGATCACTGATCGTTCAGAGCCTGCCAAGGCCAGCTTGCTCCGTGGTTAGAGGACAGCCTGTGGCTGCTGGTGGCACGCCTCGTCTGTTACCTGGCTTTGTATTCTTCAACTGTAGAGGCAGCCTGTCTTCTGTGTATGTGCACATGTGTTGGCACTGATCAGGGGACCAGGATGGAGGTCTGTGTACTATCTGCAGTGGAGGAATGCCAGTGTAGCCTCTTGGCAGTGGATCTCATCTCTGTGACTGGCAACTGCCTGCCTATCATGCCCGGTCTGCTTGGGGCATGCTGGGTAAGAATGGAAACCATGGAAAGAGAAGCACTAGGTAAGCATTTAACTGGATAGGAGCCACTACCCATAACTAGGTTTGCCTTTCTCTCTTCCTAGAAGCACAATGATGACTTTGAGATGACATCGTTCTGGTTATCCAATACCTGCCGCCTCCTGCATTGTTTGAAGCAGTATAGCGGGGATGAGGTGAGTGCTAAAATAAGCCCAGTGCCCTAGATGCACTTAGAAGCCACTCAAGTACCCCAAGTCCTTCAGCCAGGGCCTTTTGGCCTCAGACACAGCAATGTAGCATGTGTGTACCACGTCAGAGCACCTCAGATCTCAGCTCAGAATGGGGTCATTGACCACAGGAAGTGTCCCTGCTTCATCCAAATGTGGTTGTCCCCTCGAGAGAGGATGTCAAGCTTTTGGGGTGCCATCTGGGACCTCCAGCGTGGGCATGCCTTACTACACCAGGTAGCTGGAAGCAGGAATAAAGCAGTCTATGGGAGACCTACCTCCAGGTGGCCTCAAAGATCCTGAGGCTTTCCAGAAAGCACCTGGATCAGATAAACAGGATTGATGGGAAAAGGAGTCTGCATAACCTGTCTGCTGTCTGCAAGCCCCTGGACTCTCCAGGGAAATCTTTGTGACCTTAAATTGCTAAAGCATCCCTAGGAAGGCCTCCCTTCAGTGAATGCTGGAAGCCCAGTTTTCTGGTGTGTCAGACCATCTCCTAAGCCAACCCTAGTTTGTCCATTTTAAGGCAGACAAAGATGGCCACAGAGAGAGGTGTAACATAATCGAACTACTCTTGAGGCCCAACTTCAGGCCTCTAACTTAATTTGATTCCTCAGCCAGGGGCCCAACTGACTGCATCATTTCATGTTCTGCTCTGGACCCCTAGAGTCCAGCTTTAGGACTCACCATTCCCAATACTGGGCCCTGAAGGGTCTTTTCCCATTCAGCCCAGTTACCTAGTGGCAGACGGCATGCTCCCACTCTGGTTTCTCCAGTAAGAATCCCAGCTCATCCCCGACACAGACTACACCCAGATCCCCAGAGGACTCCTTGGCTTTTTCTTATATCTCACTCTGTAACCTTCCCAAGGACATAAGTCACATGAGTCCTTTTGATATTAGCAATTCTTTTAACATATATATTACTGCATCTTGTTGATGTAGAAAACAGGACAGCGCTATGGCTGTGGAATCATTTCAGTTCATCTGTGAATTCTGATACCCGATGATAGCATTCATATAATATTTCTCATTATAAGAACACACAATCTGACCCAGGGCCATACCCCTTCAGTGGCTGTGTGTGACAACATTTTCGGGTAACTGACCTATTGGAAAGAGAATTGGACAAAGAATCAGGAAGCACGGGTCCCTCTTTCCTAGACCTGCTAGCAACCTGAGTTTTACTCTGTTAGGGAAATGACGTCACCTCAGGCATATGGACTAAATGATTGAGGCCTTTTTAATTAAGCAGTTCTGACTGTTCCATCATGCTGAGATTTTTACACTGCCTTCAAATTCCAGGGCCATCAGTGAGGCCTCAAAGAACTCAATGTCTTGTTAGAACATCATATAAATAGAGCCTGACAGAGAAAGACAAGTGCCAAATGATTTCCCTTATTTGTGGAGTATAACAACGAAGCAAAACTGAAGGAACAAAACAGCAGCAGACTCACAGACTCCAAGAAGGGAGTAGCGGTTACCAAAGGGGAGGGCGGGTGGGGAGGGAGGGAGAAGGGGATTGAGGGGTATTATGATTGGCACACATGGTGTGGGGGGGTCACGGGGAAGATAGTGTAGCTCAGAGAAGACAAGCAGTGACTCTGTGGCATCTTACTACACTGATTGACAGTGATCTCAATCAGGTGGGGCGGGGGACTTGATAATATGGGTGAATGCAGTAACCACAATGTTTTTCATGTGAAACCTTCATAAGAGTGTATATCAATGATACTTTAATTAAAAAAAAATAGAGCCAGATAGGACCCCACAAATAGGATATTGCAAAAGTGACCAGAAGGCCAAAGTCCTGCCAAGTCCAGGGGACTCAAAGCCTCAGGAAAACACACCTCTCCCTCTGCAGGGCTTCATGACTCAGAACACGGCCAAGCAGAATGAACACTGTCTTAAGAACTTTGACCTCACTGAATACCGTCAGGTGCTGAGTGACCTCTCCATTCAGATCTACCAGCAGCTCATTAAAATCTCTGAGGGCACGTTGCAGCCTATGATAGGTAAGCAGGCAACAGGAGATCGCCAGCACTCACCGGGGTCTGACGTCAGGGTAGGCACTGCCACCTTTAAGGTACTGGAGACCCTAGGCCCGGCCTCCAGAAAACCAGGACCTTCATTCACAAAGAAGGCAGCTGAGGGGGTGAGGTGTGTGCCATGTGCTCAAAAAGAGCTGTGAAATTCCCACCCCACCCCATCAAAATACATGATGCTTGGGCAGTGAAAATATCCATCATTTTTCCTTTACCTCTTTTTCTGTAGTATTTTATATTTTTTCCTAAAACAAATTTCTGTAGTTAATAAATACAAAAGGTACAAATGCATATACAGTGGAAAAATGAGACCATCTTGCCCACATATATACTTTATTCATGAAAAAAACAAAAGCATTAAGTGTGTCCATGTGCAAACACAGTAGTGAGCACTCACACAATAAAGACTGGACACTCTGACCAAAGCAGTACATGCAGGCACTTAGCATGGAATCAGAATTGAAAAATCAGAGCAGTAATTTTTTAAAAGAAAAATGATACACATGCATCATTCACTGGGCACCATAAAGGCTGGGGAGGAAACTGTCCCCTCAGCCCATGTGTAATCCTTTCTCCAGGTACTTAAAAAGCAGGTTATAAGTGAATTCCAAGTAGGACAGAATTCTTCATATCATCCAGAAACATATCCCTTGGGATATCATTCCAAATCCTCCTTCCTGCAAATCTTCCTAAGAGGCACCAGTTTATTCTCTCCAGATAAGGAGAGACCTGGATTACTGCATGACTCAGGATGGTGTGGTTAATAGCACCCATTCCGGAGTCAAACAGGCCTGGGTTCTAATCTTGGCCCTGCCACTTCCTAGCAGTGTGACTTGAGAGAGTTACTAAAAAAAAAATCTCCATGCCTCAGTTTCCTCATCAGTAAATGGCATTTGGAAGATTAAAAGAAACAGTGAACATTGAGTACCCAGCACATGATAAGTGCTGTTGCAGTCAGTATGACAGACCAGCTAACTAGGATTCCTATGGTCAGAGGCTCATGCAGCAGAGCTGGAGGTAATCTCAGGGCCCAGGACCGAGTCAGTTGGCTGGGCCAGGACTCACCCTGGTCATTCATGTCTCAAACCTTGGATTCTCAGCACAGAAGCCAGTACAGAATCATGTTGGTACCTGCCCATGGTCTTTGTCCCATTATCAATTTAAGGGAAAATTTGATCCACACATTTGGTCCAAGATTCCTATATGGAAATCTTACCCCACATAGGGACCAACACATTAGATATTGTACACCAGTTGCTCTAAGTTCCTGAGCATGTCAATGCGGTATACCTCTGGTGGTGTGAGTGCCACAGCCCTGAGTACTGTGTAATCTGGGTGCAAAACAGATCTCTGGGGAACATGCCAGCTTCTCTAGTCATGCTTTTCTTTCAGTTTCTGCCATGTTGGAAAATGAGAGCATTCAAGGTCTATCTGGTATGAAGCCAACGGGCTACCGGAAGCGCTCCTCCAGCATGGTGGACGGGGATAACTCGTACTGCCTGGAAGCCGTCATCCGCCAGATGAATTCCTTTCACACAGTCATGTGTGACCAGGGCCTGGACCCCGAGATCATCCTGCAGGTGTTCAAACAGCTCTTCTACATGATCAACGCGGTGACTCTAAACAACTTGCTCCTGCGGAAGGACGTCTGCTCGTGGAGCACAGGCATGCAGCTCCGGTAGGAGAGCGGTGCTTCGCCCTGGCCACATGGTTGGAGGGGCCGTGCATGCCAGTGGGAGTCGGGACATGGCATCTGCCTCTGAAAATGAAATCCTAATGGGACTGACAATCCTTGTTGCACTCAGTATATGACTGAACTCCATCACCTTTTTATTTGTTGGTGAAATTCATCAAATACTGAGATGGCAACTTGGTAAACAAATAAGTTCAAAGCTTGAAGACATTGTATATAAACTATATTCCAATAAGAGATAAAATGTCAGAATGGAGAAGTAAAAAATAAGCTTTGATGTTTACATAGATTGGATATAGTGTGGATAGATCAAAGAAAAATCAATGAGCTAAGAAGCATAAAGGCTCACACAGAAATGTAAATATGACTGTTGAATACAGGTTGTTTTAACTGAATATATTGAATGCCTCTTCTTCCCCATTAACTTATACAGATACTTCAGGTACTTTATCTTTGCTTGATTTTTTGCACCCATTCATTCATTTATTCATTTAACAAAACGTTACCAAGCACCAGTCGCTTCTCCAGCTCGTGCCCATGCGAGATCATTCAGGTGAAGGGAATAACCACACGAGGGGCAGCGAGGCTACAGGTGTGCTGACCCCAGGGAATGAGGAGGACCAGGTTAACACGACCCACTTTTGCCTGTGTCTAAGGTACAATATTAGTCAACTTGAGGAGTGGCTTCGGGGAAGAAACCTTCACCAGAGTGGAGCGGTTCAGACCATGGAACCTCTGATCCAAGCAGCCCAACTCCTGCAGTTAAAGAAGAAAACCCCGGAGGACGCTGAGGCCATCTGCTCTCTGTGCACCGCCCTCAGCACCCAGCAGGTATGGGCACTGGCTACCCCATCACCCAGGGACACAGAGCAAGCCCAGCTCCCATTTCAAGTCTCTTCTTGCCAGCAAGTTTGGTAATGTTGCATGTCAACTCAAGTGGCAGTTGAGGGGACTGCCTCTGGTTGAACCAAAGTCCAGTTTGGTGTGGGCCCCTCTTCTCCGCTATCTTTCTGGTCCCTCTTGCACACTTAGGAAGGAAGATAAGGTGGTAACCCATAAAATATCAGGCTCAGTGTGATTTTTAAACACAATGAATTCTGGAATGTTTCTCACCTAGAAATTTAAATTTTTTTTCAGATATTTGTCATTAAATAAATTGCTTTCTTTGTGATTGTAACTTCATTGTGTTCATGTTTTCACTTAGAATCCATTTACGTTATTTTAAATAAATACATTAAGAACCCAGAAGCATTAAAGCCCTTCCTTTCCTGACCCCCATGCCAAAATTGTATTTATACTAGGACTCAGTCACAAAGATATTACCAGTCTATAAAAAGAAAGATAAATCCTGTCCACGTGCAGGGCAACCTTGCCCTCCATCGTGAGTGTGCTTGTTTAGAAACAGGCCACCACAAGGTGATGTCACAAAATGAAATACCAAACTCTTAAGAAAACTACTTCCTTCTATAAATGCACTGATGGTTTTCAAACTTTTTTCCCCTTTTAAATATATTTTGCTTTCACTGTCTAGAAGGCAACTGGCATGGCTTTGCATTTAGGCAGGCTATTCCCACCAAAAGATTGATAGGCAGACCAAAGATTACCCTCTGTTCAAACAGCAAAATCAATCTATTCCTCCAGTGATCTGGGGGGTCAGTGGTAAGGAGGTGTGATTTAAACAAGGCCTTTGTTTTCTAAGGTAAGATCCTCAATATTCTCTTGAAGAAACCTTTAAATTACCAGTAGATAAGAGGCTGAGGTTTTCAAGCAACAGTTTCCTAAAATCTTCATCATCTTATAAACCATGGAGCATAGTGGGAGGAGCAGGGTGGGTATATTGGAGATATGAATGCAGAAAGAGGGCCCAGATCTATCAGTCAAAGCTCACAGACTCTAGTTTACTAAATGTAGACTCCTGAACGTCACCCCAGCTCCCTCTGAGTTGTGGGTCCTGTCTAAAGAGGATCATATTCTTACATCCATGTCATATATTCTTTAAAATTCAGCTCAGACACTGAGATGTGACTGGTGTTTACCATGGTGGAGGGGTTGGGGTGGGTTGTGAAATAAGTGGAGGATAAAGAAGCACAGAATCTCAATCACAGTATGAATTAATCACAGGGATGAAAGTACAACATAGAAAATATAGTTATTAGTTCTTTAACATCTTTCTGTGTAGACGGATGATAACTACACTGTTGGGGTGAGGATTTAATGTATATAACTGTTAAATCACTATGCTGTATACTTGAAATGAATATAATATTGTGTATCAATTATACTTCAATAAAAAAGTATTCATTTGATGGAAAAAAATTCAAAATTTGTCTTATTTCTTTTAGCTCTGTGTTCAACTTTTGTTTTTATTCCAACAGATTGTCAAAATTTTAAACCTGTATACTCCCCTGAATGAATTTGAAGAACGGGTAACAGTGGCCTTTATACGAACTATCCAGGTGAGTTTTATTTTATAAAGTCCTGGTCTAAAACTAATAAAGGGAATTGAAGTTTAGATTTTAACCTTGCTTCTTTTTATTAATAAAATGCTGGTTATATTAATGCTAAAAGACTTTATATTCTTAGGCTTTCACTCTAGGTAAAGATGAACCATATCATCTATGAAAAACTTACACACATGTACTACCAAACTCTTATACAATGTCTGCCTCTCAGATGTTAGACGTAGTGTATTATTTCATTTGCCACTAGCATGTTACTGAACTACAGCACCAAATGGAATTAACAAAATGAGCAGAATATCAACTCAACCTATGAACTAAGAAATACTCTTTTAAAAAATAATTGGGAGTTCTTAGATATTGCCTTATAATATTTGTCCTAAAGAATGTGCTTTAAAGAAAACATATTAGGAAAATAATTAAATCCATTTTAAGATATGGGAATTTTTTACTTAAAGATAAGCTACTAAAGCTGAGCCCTAGGTGATTTTTGGCTGAATGCCTGACCTTTAAGTGTAACTAGCTGACTGCATCTGAATGATGAGTCACATCAAGATTATTCACCCTGATTCAGAAAGATACATGCACCCCTGTTTATTGCCACATTATTACAAGATATGGAGGCAACCAAAGTGTCCATCAATAGATAAATGGATAAAGATGTGGTACATATGCACAATGGAATATTATTCAGCCATTAAAAAGAAAGCAAGCCTGCCATTTGCTACAACATGGATAGACCTAGAAGATATTAAGTGAAGTAAGTCAGACAGAAAAAACAAATACCATGTGATTTCACTTATTTGTGGAATATAAAAAGAAAATGAACAAAACAGCAGTAGACTCAGAGGCACTGAGAAATGACTGGTGGTTACCACGGGGGAGAGGTTAGACTGGGTGGGTGGGGAAGGTGAGGGGGATAAAGGCACAAAAATTTCACTTGTACTGTAAGTTGGTCACGGGGATGGAAGTACAGCACGGAGAATATAGCCACTGGTTCTGTAACATCTTCCTGTGTTGACATGATCACTGCACTCGTTGGGGTGAGGATTTAATAATGTAATGTTGAACCACGGATGTATACTTGTGTTCAATATAATGTTTATCAGCTAGAGTTCAATCTTAAAAAGCAAAAAAAAAAAAAGATTATTCAGAAAAACAGTCTCCCAGTATTGTATATGGTGAACACCTTGAGGAGATTTAATTCTTTCTCAAACTTGTAAATGACCTCTTTAGCCAGTGAAGTGATGCCAACAGGAAAAAGGATAAAAAGAACAGGGGAAGCGCTCAGAGGAGGAGTGAGGAAAAGGGGAATCAAACTGACCGTTTGTGAAAGACCAGTACGGAAGAACCTTGACAAAACATGGGGCCTTGGGGGAGAAGCTATTCTCTCTGACATATTCTGGGGGTTTTATTCAGAGTGTTTTGCAATGCTTCAGTGTGGAGAGCGAGCACTGAAGCTGTGGCAAAGACTAAATTTAGCATTGTGTCTAAGTAGAGAATAGAGGCTGAAGGTCAAGGGAGGGGTGCCAAGTCAGAGTAAAGGTTGTGGTGTTCTCTTAAGGGCAGTTGGGAAAATGCAAAGGGTCATTAGGTATATAGACTATAGACTGAAGCAGGCAGAGACTCACCAACACAGGTGAATCTGCTCAAAAGGCAGGGGGGTGCTGACTGAAAGGTCAGGTTAGGCTGTATGTCGGTCTCACGCTCGAGGGGGGAGGAGGAGTATGGTGGCAGAAGAGAAGCTACTGCGGGATCTGACGCACCTCTGATTTTTATGGCAAGTTGATAATCTACACGCACTACAATGCTAAGGGTTTAGAAAGTCTCATGTGGTTTCAGATACCTGAGATACCCAACAGAGGGAGAGCTGCAACTGCTTATAATTAAAATAGCACTTTTTACAAGAGAATTCAGGCCAAAGGTCAAAGAATATGTGCCAGGTCAGACTTCAGGATTCAATTAAGGACATAGGACACAGGTAAGGAAGGCTGATCAGACATCTCTGCAGACATGTAGGGTCAGTCTGAGCCTTCCTCAGCAGCCAGTTTCAGTATCTGGCAATGCTAAATACTAAAATATTCTTTTGGTTTTTTGCCAGCTACAGTTTTATGTTGTTTCTCCCTAGAGAATGCTCAGGAGAAATGGTGCAACAATCCACGCCATCCTCCTGCTTATCTTACATGGGATAAGTTACAAGTTGCTTCTTAAAACCATTTGCTTGGGCAGCATAGAGAGAACACACCAACCTTTAAAAATGTAAATCTGAGGGACTGTAAAACCCACCAAAGGAGCCACAGGAGGAGTCCTGTGAAATGACTACCTTGTGAATTTTAAGTATTTAAACTATACAGACCTTTTGCTGCTGAATTGTAGTAATATAGGTATAATTAACTTTTTTTGTCCCATTTTTATTCCCTCTACATCCTTCACAATTTCTTCAAACCCTTTAAAGAGTGAAAACCCTTATAAGTAAGAGAAATAAAAGGACCTTATGTGCTATGAAAAAATTTAAGTTTTTTACCATTTCACATTTTATGTATGTTTTCATGTGCTGTGTGATAGGCTTGTAATAATAAAACAGAGCTCAGAGAGCTGAGTATTGGACTGTCAATCATCCTAGAGAGACCATTCTGCCAGAGTCAATCAAAGCTGTCATTTGGCATCTTAAGTTAGTAAGGCTGGTTGCTTATTCATCTCTAAATGGTTATTGTTTCAAACTACTTTTTCAAACCGTTAAAATTCCTTTAAAATTTTGGCCCATCTTTCAAGATGCCAAACATGGGTGTTTATAAATTGGCACCTAGAACTCTAACAGTGTTTTCCACTCATTACCCAGGTTCATCCCTCTAGGTTCCGCTGCCACTATAGCGTTTCTCTCCCTGCTTAAATAGCTGAGGGATAGAGACCATGTCTCCTCAAGTCCTGCCTAATAGTTCCAAGATACTTGCCAATTCACTTTTGTGAGTTCACATGTTGGCTATTTTTAGGTGCAGTAAGTATTATATGTGGTTTTATTCTTGTCCACAGGCACAACTGCAGGAGCGAAATGACCCTCAGCAGCTGCTCTTAGACTTCAAGCACATGTTTCCTGTTTTGTTTCCATTTAATCCATCATCTTTGACCATGGACTCCATCCACATCCCAGCGTGTCTCAGTCTGGAGTTCCTCAATGAAGTCTGAAAAGGCCCATCCATGTCCATCGTTGGCTCCATTCCCAGTGAGAGCAAGAAGGAAATATATACAGTAAAGTGAATTTGAGGATGTTAAATCTTAAAAGTGGATCAAATCAGAGATTGAGAACCTGTGCAGAGTGAACTATACAGAATAAGACACATCTGTCATTATTTTTTGTACCTACTGCTCAGAATAAAAACACTTGAAATATGGAAGTTTTTTTTTTAAGGAGATGATTTTGATCTAAACAAATATACTTTATAATCTGCAGCACCAAGCAGTCCCCATGGCCATATAAAAGGTGCCAGTCTATAAAATGGAAACTGCCTAGTTTCGATCTTTGCATCTGAGTGGAGAATGTACAAAGTGAAATACTAAAAATATATGTCACACAAATTGGCTTCAGAGGACTTTTAACAAATAGTGGTCCTAATAACTATGATACTGTCCTGCAGTGGGTGACATTTCCCCACAGTGACAAACCATAGGTATAGTTGAGTTTGTGAGGAAATGTTCTGAGAACAAGAACACAGGCCTGGGCCTTCTGAGAAGTTTCCCAAAGGTATTTTTAATGTCTGGTGATGCAGAGACAATGGTGTAATTGAACTCCAGACCAAACATTTTGAGTATTTGTTTCTGAAGCAAAATTAGAAGGCTCAGTCCCTAATGTGCTCAAACCTTTTTGAGTCGTGTTGGGTTTATGGAAGAGTTACGCTAAAAATGCTGCTGTCCCAAACTTAAAATGTGAGCAAGATGGAAAGATATTTTTTGCACATATCCATGCACTTAAGTCACCAAAACTTTCACCAAAATCTATATGTTTGAATAACAACTCTTGTTTTATTCACAGATTAAAAGTCAAGTCAGCATGAAAGCCTTTAATCCCTTAATGCTATTAAATGTCCAATAAGAACATCACATAATGTATTAGTAATTCCAGATAACCAAAATAGTAAAGGAAAACAAACTTTAGATTAAGGGGTGAGATTATTTGAAAAACTTTTTTAAAAAATTAGTTCAAGGATTGTTAAATTATTACCCAAAGGGTTTTTGGGTTTGTGTGTTACGTGTATTCTTTTTAAAGAGATAGCTTATATCAACTTCTTTTTAGGTTATGTTCAACATTTTTCAAGTTTACCACATAAAAACCCTATTTCTGCTTTGAAATAGGATTTAAGGAATTTCAGTAATAACATTACCAGATTTTATCTTTGCTGCTTTTACACATTTTTTCTTGCCTCTTCAAAAGCAGGCATTCAGTTACAATACCTTACATATTCCTTATGCCCTGTTTTTTAAACTACATTTTTCATATTTGGGGGAGATAACAGCATGCTATTCCCATCAATGGAACACATGGTGTTTGCAAAGCATAGAAGAGCCTCTGCATTACATCCAGAAGATCAGATTGCTCCATGAATCGCAAGTCGAACCCACCCCACCACACCACCTCCTCCTTTCACTCAGCCGCTCAACTGAATAGGCTCTGGGAGAGACAGCATGGTCCAAACACTGAACAGCCCTGTGTCCTCTGCTGGGGCCGAATGAGGCAGGACACCTAGGTGAAGACTGCTGACCGTCATGTCCAAACACGTGTCATCAGCATTACCCCCTCTACCTCCACATCACACATCCTGGCTTCTCTTGGGGGTCCACATGGAGCTGTGCCTTTGCTGCTTCCTCAGTTACGTAATCTGACGTGTATGTGTCACACCCTTCAGCCCAAACACCGACTTCGTTTGGAAGGCCAGTCTAAACCAGTGAGGTCTGTGGCTGCCTCTTTTTAAAGTTGTTCATTAGGTATAATTTGCTTGTCACTGCACTTTAGTTTGCAATTGAGTCTCTCATGTAAGGACCATCCTTAATATTCAAGATAATGAAAAATGCCTTGTTAGAATGTTATGGAGTTTGAAAAGCAGTGACTCCATAAATGCAATGACTTATTGTCCTTACATACTGTCTTACACCCTCATTCTCTTGATCTCTTTGGGTCACTACCTCTCTGCCGTCACTGGCTAATCACCAGGTGCAAAGGACTCACTGAATAGCAGCTAAGCAATTAGAGTAAATATGGGAGGAGGGGACCTTAGGAAAAGTCCTCTACTTAGCCTAAGAAATGGCAGATATACTTTTCCTCTTCCAAAAAAAAAAATAATAAGGGTATTTCACTGGAACTGTACTTAATTTATAACTTTTAAAAACAGTTTTTATAGACCATTAACAATAGCGTAATTGGTCACTTAATGTTCAGATCTGCCCTATTTAACTTGACAATGAATACTAGGAGGAGCATCTTTAGGAAAACTGACCTTTGGTTAGCATTTTTTTATTTGCACATTTTTAAAGTTCAACTGAGACATTTCCCAATTTCATGAAATCAGTAACTTTTAAGTAACTTAAATATTAAGGTTTGAAGTAGATATCTTTATTTTTTAATATTTAAAATTTAGTTGACACTTCTCACTATGTGCCTTTAGCAGTTACTAAAATAACTGACTTACCAAATAAGTGTTGTGGGAAGAATTTTAAGGTTTAACATAACATCATGGTAGAGTTTTGTCTTTTGAAAGAAGCATTTTAAAAATTACCTAAGATTCAAATACTTAATAGCTTAAAGAATTGTGAAGTGTTAAATGGGACCTGTTAACCAATAGTGATGTATGTTATATACACAGTAATTGTTGCTGATGCTGACAAGCATACTACCTACATGCATTCTCCCTGCACCGTCACAGCTGCAGGTGGAATCCTGGTAGCTGGCAAGATTACACCCAAGGTGAATGGGCTGTTTCTCCCCTTTCTGTGGAGCATGTCAATAGGAGTAATGTGTTCCTTGATTTTCCTATACTAAATGTTAAGGCTTTTGTAAAACCAAATGACAAAACTAGGAACTTGGAAAACAAAACAGGAACACTACTACCATCAATTCACAAATATTTAGTTAGAGCCTGAATGCAGTAAGATTTTAGTAAATAGAGCCCATTTTTTTTGCATATAGTAAATTTAATTGTTTTCATACACTTGACCTAGTTCTAACGCAGCAAGGGTATCCTAAACTGAAATCCTTGTATAATGCATACATGACTTCCTGGTTTTGATAATGTGACGGCATGGGGCAGGACCCTGTAGTGTTTCTTCAGAGAATATTTCTCTGCAGTCAGTTTCATGACAAACCATAGGTATAGTTGAGTTTGTGAGGAAATGTTCTGAGAACAAGAACACAGGCCTGGGCCTTCTGAGAAGTTTCCCAAAGGTATTTTTAATGTCTGGTGATGCAGAGACAATGGTGTAATTGAACTCCAGACCAAACATTTGGAGTATTTGTTTCTGAAGCAAAATTAGAAGGCTCAGTCCCTAATGTGCTCAAACCTTTTTGAGTCGTGTTGGGTTTATGGAAGAGTTACGCTAAAAATGCTGCTGTCCCAAACTTAAAATGTGAGCAAGATGGAAAGATATTTTTTGCACATATCCATGCACTTAAGTCACCAAAACTTTCACCAAAATCTATATGTTTGAATAACAACTCTTGTTTTATTCACAGATTAAAAGTCAAGTCAGCATGAAAGCCTTTAATCCCTTAATGCTATTAAATGTCCAATAAGAACATCACATAATGTATTAGTAATTCCAGATAACCAAAATAGTAAAGGAAAACAAACTTTAGATTAAGGGGTGAGATTATTTGAAAAACTTTTTTAAAAAATTAGTTCAAGGATTGTTAAATTATTACCCAAAGGGTTTTTGGGTTTGTGTGTTACGTGTATTCTTTTTAAAGAGATAGCTTATATCAACTTCTTTTTAGGTTATGTTCAACATTTTTCAAGTTTACCACATAAAAACCCTATTTCTGCTTTGAAATAGGATTTAAGGAATTTCAGTAATAACATTACCAGATTTTATCTTTGCTGCTTTTACACATTTTTTCTTGCCTCTTCAAAAGCAGGCATTCAGTTACAATACCTTACATATTCCTTATGCCCTGTTTTTTAAACTACATTTTTCATATTTGGGGGAGATAACAGCATGCTATTCCCATCAATGGAACACATGGTGTTTGCAAATCATAGAAGAGCCTCTACATTACATCCAGAAGATCAGATTGCTCCATGAATCGCAAGTCGAACCCACCCCACCACACCACCTCCTCCTTTCACTCAGCCGCTCAACTGAATAGGCTCTGGGAGAGACAGCATGGTCCAAACACTGAACAGCCCTGTGTCCTCTGCTGGGGCCGAACGAGGCAGGACGCCTAGGTGAAGACTGCTGACCGTCATGTCCAAACACGTGTCATCAGCATTACCCCCTCTACCTCCACATCACACATCCTGGCTTCTCTTGGGGGTCCACATGGAGCTGTGCCTTTGCTGCTTCCTCAGTTACGTAATCTGACGTGTATGTGTCACACCCTTCAGCCCAAACACCGACTTCGTTTGGAAGGCCAGTCTAAACCAGTGAGGTCTGTGGCTGCCTCTTTTTAAAGTTGTTCATTAGGTATAATTTGCTTGTCACTGCACTTTAGTTTGCAATTGAGTCTCTCATGTAAGGACCATCCTTAATATTCAAGATAATGAAAAATGCCTTGTTAGAATGTTATGGAGTTTGAAAAGCAGTGACTCCATAAATGCAATGACTTATTGTCCTTACATACTGTCTTACACCCTCATTCTCTTGATCTCTTTGGGTCACTACCTCTCTGCCGTCACTGGCTAATCACCAGGTGCAAAGGACTCACTGAATAGCAGCTAAGCAATTAGAGTAAATATGGGAGGAGGGGACCTTAGGAAAAGTCCTCTACTTAGCCTAAGAAATGGCAGATATACTTTTCCTCTTCCAAAAAAAAAAATAATAAGGGTATTTCACTGGAACTGTACTTAATTTATAACTTTTAAAAACAGTTTTTATAGACCATTAACAATAGCGTAATTGGTCACTTAATGTTCAGATCTGCCCTATTTAACTTGACAATGAATACTAGGAGGAGCATCTTTAGGAAAACTGACCTTTGGTTAGCATTTTTTTATTTGCACATTTTTAAAGTTCAACTGACATTTCCCAATTTCATGAAATCAGTAACTTTTAAGTAACTTAAATATTAAGGTTTGAAGTAGATATCTTTATTTTTTAATATTTAAAATTTAGTTGACACTTCTCACTATGTGCCTTTAGCAGTTACTAAAATAACTGACTTACCAAATAAGTGTTGTGGGAAGAATTT